CTTTACTTCACCTGGAAGTCAGAAATTAGATAAAGCAGAAAAGTCTTCAACAATAGGAAAGAGCTTCATCAGACTGATTGATACACAGATGATTCTACGGACACATTCTGCCACTACTGTATACCTGTAACCCTCGGGTCTTCCTTGTTTTTAGATAACCCCTCACTGTCGTCAGATTTTATATGTTATGAGCTGGAAGTATGTAGAGTTTATATTGCTTATTCATTTAAAACATCTATTAATCTTGCAGACCTCAAGGCAGCTTACAAGATATATAAAACAATTACCAAAAAACCCCACACCCCACACAATAAAAACAATATATATTGTTTTAGCAAGCTATGATCGGATTCATTGGTACTTTTTAAAAAATGGTCAACAAATACACTGTGACCTTTTATGTGTTTTTGTGCTACACATACACGGAAACACATAAAAGGTCACAATGTATTTGTTGACCATTTTTTTTAAAAGTACCAATGAATCTGATCATAGCTTGCTTCTCTCTCCCTTTCTCCTCCTCTCTTACACACAAGTTCAGATCCCAGTCCAAAAAATACATGGCAATATCAATGGATTGACCATGCATAGCTGCACAGCAACTATGCACATGTATGACCTGCTTAAACACTTGAAAACCTCAATCAATGCCCAATTTTCTTTCCCCCTCATTGAAGGAGAGAAGGGGACATGGGTATCAGTTCCTCTTGTCATACTGGTTAGGTCGGTAGTTAGGGTTGCCAGCTTCCAAGTGGTGGCTGGAGATCTTGTGGGATGACAACTGATTTCCAGGTGACAGAGATCAGTTCCCCTGGAGAAAATGGCTGCTTTGGAAGGTGGACTCTGTGGCATTGTAGTCTACCTAAGTCCCTCCCCAAATCCTGCCCTCCCTAGGCTCCACACCTAAAATCTCCAGGAATTTCCCAACCCATAGCTGGCAACCTTAGTAGCTATTAGTGTGGTACTGTGCACGTGCCTCCCACAACTGCACCTGCATCCTCAAAGCGCTGGATGCAAAGGTCCAACTCCAGGAAATGGGTGAGCAGCACCCGTTTTTGTATGCAGCTTTTGATTCAGTAGGATGACACATGTGGAAACCTGCTGGACTGGGGTACTAGTCTAACCTGCCTGCCTTTCTCCAGTGCATGACAAGGAACCAAGAACATTAGGCAGTTGGTTAGTGCTGTGATAAAGCTCTATTCTATTTGTTTCTGTTATGCTTTAAAAGACATTTTCTGCTATAGCAAAGACAATGCCCTTTCCCTTGAGGCTCTCCTGGCACCTATCTTGTTCTTTTTTAGGCATCAGGCCAAAACATTTCTTTTTAACTAGGCTTTTAATTAGGGGGTTAGTATTTTAGAATTGTTCTTACAGACTGTTATAGCCAGAGTAAGGGTTAGGCTGCTAAATGTTTTATGCTGATTTGATGATATTGTTGGATTCTTGATGACTGTCAATTTTTTATATTTCAAGGTTTTATTGTATTTTATTTTGTAAATTGCCTTGAGCAGGTTCTTGAGAGAGGTGAAATATACATTTTCCAAATAAATAAATTGGCTCATCAACAAATGGCAGTCTACATTACAGGAAAAAACTAGAAGGTAAGCATTTTTTGTAAAATGTACACAGTTTGAACATTCAGATTGCGTAACTAGGACTGAACCGAAAGGACAACTTTTGGCAGTGGACAAATACACTCCCCTTGTTTGTTTGTTTTGAGGGGGGATTCCAAAATAATGTTTGCCCATTCGCAGCGAGGGCAATGTTGACTGAGGAATCATTGCCCTTATTCTTAGTTGCCTTTGTGACACTGTCAATATTGCCAGATCTCACTGGTTACGAAGTGCTGTAATAACATCACAATCAAGTAAGTTTCCTGGTCAGCTGGAATCAGCAATGTTAGGAAAAGACAACCCCACAAAACAACATAGCAACAGAAGAATGGGCAAACGAAGCTGCTTGTCAGGTGAGACTACTCCACCAAGGACTGAATTCTTTCACCTGCTCAGCTCTACCTCCTGGTTGCTGCTCTTCTTGTATTTGTGGGAGGAAAAGGAGGATAAAAATATTTTAAATAAATAAAAGCAGTAAACAGGAGGTAAAATAAGAGATTTTGGGCACCTCCCCAAAGCACAGCAACCTAACTATCTGCTCCCCCCCATTCTTCAGCTTTCCCTCCTTCCCTCCTCTGGCAGCCTATCCCCTTATCTTCTCCTCCACGTGCACCTAACTTTTTCTATCCTGCCTTCAGCTTCTCCTTTTTATCTCCCATCTCCGTGCCCTCTCCTTCACCTTTCATAGAAACTACGGTTTGCAATGATCAGTAATAAAGTTCTCACAAGTGGGAATCTTCTGTTAACGCTAGAGATGTTGTTTCCATAATTTGATTTTTTTTTTAAATCTCCAATGCAATTTTTTGACTTCTCTCCCATTTGCAGAAAAATCCCCCATCTGCCCCTGGTCCCACTGTGTGGATTTTTTGATCCACACTCAAAGGTCTGGTTCAGAATGGTGACTGGAACCTACCAGTTTGAAAGGATCAAGCCAATGCCACAGTTCTCTAAATATACCGATTTTAAATCAATTCAAGAATGGACTATAAAAATGGTTCCTGTGCATATTTACCTGGGAGCAAGCCCCCACTGAGATGTACTTTTGAGTAAACATGAGTAGGGCCCCGATCACATGCAGAGTTTGCCGCGGGAGAGCCACGAATGCCAGGCGGATTATATGGGCGCGATCACACCGCCACATCTGACAAGCGTGGTGCACCCGTGGCCAACCGGTATCGTCCAGCCGAAGATGCAGACTTTAAAAGTACCTTGGAAACCCCAGTAGTAAATGGTAGCGATGGGCTGCAGACAGACGCTCTCCGTCTGATCGCCCCAGCGCGCTCCTCTCGAGTCCCTGCTTCCTGGTTGGAGCGCACTGCAAACAACCACCCAAGGAAACAACGTCGTCGCATCTGATCGCGTTGGGGTGCGTCAGATTGCGACGGCACTAATAGCCACATCTCCTCCCCACATTATCCAGCCCGTGTGACTGGGACCTAGGATTGGGAACATATTTATCTGAATTCCAGTCCTTCAAAAGATTTTGCAAGGGGACAGAAGCACACTGTAAATAGAGTCCCATTCTTTGTGGAACAAATGGTCCTGCGGATTCAGTGAATATCAACTTGCGAAAGATTATTTGCAAGCCAAAGCTCAGCATTTCCGTGACTGTTTTTTTTTAAACTCGCAAGGACTCACGCTAATGAGATATTAATATTTGCTTTCATCAATTGAAGACAAAAGACCACAAGAGGGCAAGGATGATGAATGTCCATATGAATATTAAAAATTCACACAGTCCTCTGAAAAGACACAGGAGCTTTTGCTAAGGCATTTCAGACTAAAGCGAGGAGTGATTCTTCTTGAACTTTCACAGAATCCAATTTATTAATGAATAGGGTGGCTTTAGAGACTTATAATGGCTGATCTACAATGCAGCAGAAAACACAGAGGAATGATGAGCATAATGATTTCCAGAAAGAAAATGGCAAAACTTAACCCCAGATAACCAAAACAATCCCCCAGAATGAGATAGCAGAAGCCAAACAAAGAAAGGTGGTTTGCATCAAAGAAGATTAATGTTGTGTCTCACTGCATTAAAATTCCTTTCTTCTAAAATTGTGAGGACCACTGTTCTACAGTCCCAGTGAGCAGGAGAGATACACAGTGAAGCTCACAGTCCTTATATTTGTAAAACTCAGCACAAATACACACCCGATTTGTATAGCACCCTTAAAATGCAATTCCTCTCAAGACTGAGAGCCATTAACATTCGCAATGGCAACCCAGGGCAAGCGGAAGGAAAAACAAGAACTCCATGTATTGCAGAGTATCAGTAGATGAGTCTTCAGAGTAGACAAGAACTACTTATCTGTGAATCAGCCATTGGCTCTGGATCTATTACACACAAGCATAAGATTACCAGAAAACCCCCCACCTAGTGAACGGAAGGCTTACCATTCTGTACATGCCGTTTCTGGTCTCTTGCTGTTGAGCTGGGATCTGTTTCCTTTTCTGCCCGAGTTACATTCTTCCCTTGAGAAGCGTCATTTTTGTTAACACTAGTTTGACGAGTCCCATTTACATTGCTCTTACTGGCTTCTGTGCTCTTACTGTCTCCCGAATTTCCTTCTTTACTGTTTTCGGATTTGGTGGCAGCTGTTTCCTCCGTTGGCTTTTTCCCTTCATTTTCCTCTGTTCTCTTTTCATCTGCATCCTGCTGCGAATTTTCCTCTGCTTCCTTCTTCGCTTTTTCTTCTGCACCCTCAGCAAAAACAAAGGCAGATTAAATGGGGATGGGGAGAAACAAATTAATAGTGTGTTTACCAGGATGGCAACCTTTATTTCAGTTTTTTTCTTTCAGAGTGCAAGCCCCAACTCTGGGCCTTCCAGACGTTTTGTCTGCATCACAGCTAACTGTAATCTAGTCCTTCTTTGCATGGAATTCAGAATGCCATGCTGCAGTGGTTCCTCATGTGTTGCTGCCTTACACTGAATCAGACCCTTGGTCCATCAAGGTCAGTATTGTCTGCTCTGACGGGCAGCGGTCTTTCGCATCACCTACTGCCTGATCCTCTTAATTAGAGATACCAGGGATTGAATCTTGGACATTCTGCATGCCAAGCAGATGTTCTGAAGCTGAGCCACAGCCCCTTCCCTCCAGTTCACAAACTGTGGATGGTGGACCACAAGTAAGTTGCAACCAAACTCCTGAGATGAGAGGAGGGATGATGGCTCCTCTCTTTCCAGTGGAAAAGAAGAAGAAGATGGAGCTGCTGCATATGCATTTGCAGAGGTTCAGCTCACTCCCAACCACCACTGGTGTGGGAGACAATGGGCTTTTTGCCTCTAGGCTCACACTGCTGGCAGCCCACAGCTCTGTAGTGGTAGGTCCCTAGGGGTACAGCTAGTTTAGAAGTGGGTCCTCACTTCAAAGTCTGAGAACCACCAAGCTTCCCCCCTCCCACACATCTTGCCTGAAAGAACTGTGCTGCTAGGAACTGCAGAAACGAAGGTGATAACAATGCACCCCACTTGTCAAATGACTATGGTTTACGGGAGAGATGTACAACCTCCCCACCCAATAAGGAACAATTTAACCTGTGCATTCAGACACAGATCAGTTATTTCTTTCGATGGTGGTATCAAAAGCAGGCTCTGACATGAATGGCCAAAGCCAGCCTGATCTCATCAGATCTTGGAAGCCAGGTAGAGTTAGTCTTGGTTAGTATGTGGATGGGAGGCCACCAAGGAAGTCCAGGGTCACTACACAGAAGCAGGGAATGGCAAACCACCTCTGAATGTCTCTGGCCTTGAAAACCCTATGGGAGCACCGTAAGTCTGGACGGCACTTTCCATCTCCAGCACCACCATAAAGAGAGTGGTCCAGGTAGCAGATTCTGACAAGAAGCATCTCCAGTCAGTTAGAGTGTCCCAAAATGCTATCCATCTTACAGTGCAATCATAAGAATTTAAGAAGAAGAGCCCTGCTGGACCAGGCCAACCAGTTCCTTTGGAGGGCTAACTACAGGACTTAGAGGCCAAGGTCTTCCTTCGATGTTGCCTCCCTGGCACTGGTATTCAGAGGTTTAGTGCCACTGAATGTGGAGGTTCCCCTGAGTCACCATACCTGGTAGCCACTGATAGACCTATCCTCCACTAATCTATCTAATTCCCTTTTAAAGCTGTCTGTAAGAACATAAGAAGACCCTAACTGAAGTTACCCTTCTAAGCCCATTGACTAGAACAGACTTCAGGAGACTTAAGATGCAGTCACACACACTAAATAATCCACTTTCAATCCACTTTTAGTGCACTTTCCAACTGGATTTTGCTGTGTGAACTGAAAGTGCATTGAAAGTGGATTATTGAGTGTGTGTGACCGCAGCCTTAAAAGGGTATAATTCTAATTAGGACTGCGCTGTCATTTGCTACCCGAAGACCTCGGATGAAAACGGTGATCAAGAGGACCTTCTCTCACACCTAATGATGTTTGCAATCAGCACAGTACAAGCACCTTTTGTCTAATTCCTTATCCCCAGGGCAAAAGAGGCAAGTGGTCTGGGGAGCTGATTACAAAAGGCAGCCTTGTCAGACATCTAGTCAACTTTTTTTTTTTTAAAAAAATGCTTCCTTATTTCATTTTGACCTTCTTGGGCTAGCATGGAGACAGAACGGGGAAATTTGAGACAGGATCGTGAAGTTGCCAGAGTTTTGCCCCGTTCAAGCAAGAAATCAGGAAATGTGGGGTGGGGGGATGGGTGAAATTCACCAGGGTGAGCTGGAGTTCTAGAGTCAGGAACAGTCACAACTGAATGGCCAGATATTTTTGACTCTTTACCTCTTGACTCACAAGTATTAAACAAGTACAGCTTCTCACAATACTATCCACACACCAGAAAAACAAAAAACTCACCACACTTTTAGTATCTGCTTGTCACATTACAGTTAACGCTGTAATCAAACGTAGTCTGGAAAAGGAACGCTAAAGAAGAGGATGAAGGATATTCCGGGCAAACTATGGCTGATTTCGCACTAGAGCTGCCTCGATGTTGCGCCGCCGTTTGCCCCCATTTTTTGTTGTTTAGTCACACAGTCGAGTCCGACTCTTCGCGCCCCCATGGACCAGCTCCCGCCAGGCCCTCCTGTCTTCCGCTGTCCTCTGAAGTTTGCTCAATTTCATGTTTGTTGCATCTATGACACTGTCTAACCATCTCATCCTTTGCCGTCCCCGTCTTCTTTGACCTTCAATCTTTCCCAGCATCAGGGTCTTCTCCAGTGAGTGCTCCCTTCTCATAGGGTGGCCAAAGTATTTGAGCTTCAGTTTCAATTTCACACCCGAAGCCGCGGGGCTGCATTTGACCTGCGGCTTTGCCCGATTTCCTCCGCAGTTTCGTGGTCCTCAAAAAGCAGGATCACGAAACTGCGGGGGAAATCGGGCGAAGCCGCGAGTCAAAATGTAGCCCCGCAGCTTCGAGTGTGAAATTGACCAATAGTATCGGGGCAAATGGTGGCACAACATTGAGGCAGCTCTAGTGCGAAATCAGCCTAAAATACTTGGACTGATTTAGTTTAAGGCCGCTTCATGAGTTCATGTCTTCTTCATTAATGTTCCTTTTCCTGAGATAATAATGATCTGAGGACAATTATTCCAGGACTGACCACCCTGACTGGCGGCAGATCTCCAGGGTCTCAGGTAGAGACTTTCGTATCACCTGCTGCCTGATCCTTCATAACAGGAAATGTCAAGTCTTCAACCTGGGACCTTCCGCGTGCAAAGTGGATGCTCTACAAGTGAGCTAGGGTCCCTCCTGATAGCAACCCTCTTAACAATTTCAAGAAGTATGGGCTCAATCAACCTTGGGCTACTTTTAGGGAAAATTAGGCTGGAGAACATTAAGACCAAAGGGGTAGCAAAGACTTGCTAAACACCTTACCAAGACTCTAGGAAATTTCTGTTACAAGGAAAGTGGCTGTAAAGGTAAAGGGTCCCTTGCTTGAAAGCCAGTCGAGTCCGACTCTAGGGCTGCGGTGCTCATCTCCATTTCCAAGCCGAAGAGCCAGCGCTGTCCGAAGACGTTTCCGTGGTCATGTGGCCGGCATGACTAAACACCAAGGCGCACGGAACGCTGTTCCCTTCCCACCGAAGCGGTACCTATTTATCTACTTGCAATTTCTTGCTTTCGAACTGCTAGGTTGGCAGGAGCTGGAACTAGAGACGGGAGCTCACTCCGTCATGTGGCAACTCGTGTCTCGAACTGCTGAACTACTGACCTTCCACAGCCTGCAGTTCAGCGTCTTAACCACTTGAGCCACCGCAGCATAGTGAAAATTGGGGGGGGGGGGAGAGATCCCGAACAGTGTGTGCCACAGCCAACACTTCAGCCTGTTATTGCTAAGAGTAATACTGAGCTTGCATCATGCGTTCATTTTTTTTTTTAGCATCATGTTCTTTGGGGCATATGTTTATTCTGGTTCCTAATTTCCATCTATTTAATAGTAATACTGTCAGCCGAAGGAGCTGACAGTATTACTAATTTTGCCCACACATGCGGAGATACTTAGCACAGAAACACATAGAGACAGTTTTCTAATGGTGTTATCTTAACAGGGAACAGCTCATTTTCCCGGAGCGGGTCTGTTACATGGAAACATTCTTGGTGCTGAGAGATTATACGAAGTACAATCGTCACTCCAAGGTTTCATCTTGTGGTACTTTGCGACAACAGCCATTCATGCTACCGCAAATATCAATGTTACTTGCAACTGGTAGAGTCTTTAGCCGCCAACTGTCTTTTTAACTCACATTTAAAAAAACCAAACTGCTGGGTCAGGTTACCTTTGGTTGCTTGTGCTTTCCACTTCTCCCTGTTCTGTTGCACCACTTCAGTCCAGGTGGTTTTAAAACATTTGAAGTCCACAGTGAGGATCGAACAGTTGAGTGAGGCACTTCCTTCTGACCCAGTGCTCTTGACACTTGATCTTTTAACTTCCGAGGGGCTAATGCTGTTCAGACTGCGATCAAAGAATGCAGCGAGAGTTAATACGTTCTACAACTACACCCGCAAAAGAACCACAAAATGCCTGTTTTCCTTCTTTCGCTTGATATTTTTTCTCCCTGGCTCTTGTCTCTGATTGATGACTGCCCGGTCTGAGCTGAGAAACTGCCACTCAGCTGTGAATCTGAACTATCTAGAGCAACGGGACTCCATGGGATCCAATCCTGCCCCCCGCAGCCAGCAATTTCCAAGCAACAGCCTACCAGGGTGGAACACAACCACACGGGCTTATCAGCAATACGTGTTTGTAGTGAAGAGCTCTCACAAACAATCCATGATGACCAATGGGAACCAGGGCTGCTTCCACACCAAGGATTTCCCATGTTTCAGCCACATGACTGGTGCATTTCTTCGCCTAGGTTCCCACAAAACATCACCGCCCACTTGTGCACAGAACATTAACAGCCCATATCACCTCATACAAAAAAAAACCCTTGCCTTATTTTAAACATACAAAAATACAAATGTTTCCTGGTCAAGACACTATGGGCCTGAGCAGTCTTGTGTCTGAAGGGGAAACAGTGTAATCGGCAAAGTGATAGCCAGTTACTCTTTCACCTGTTGCTGACTGCAAGGGGCCAGTCCCCTGCAGAAATATAACAGAAGAGAATCGCCTGCCTTTTAGGCGGGGGGGGGGGAGATCATCAAAGGATTACAGTTTTAGAGGTAAAACGCCCTGACCTGGATAGCTCAGGCTAGATCAATCTCCCTAGATCTCGAAAGCTAAGCAGGGTTGGCCCTGGTCAGTATGTGGATTGGGGATGACCAAGAAAGCCCAGGGTGTGTATCAACACAGAGGCAGGCAATGGAAAACCACCCCTGAATGTGTCTTGCCTTGAAAACTCTATGGGGTTGCCAAGAGTTGACTATGATTTGACAGCAATAAAAAAAAGGGAAAACAGAAAAGAATCACCCACAGTTCAGCTTAGCTTTTAGGAAGGGTGGAAGGGATCGCTGGAGGTGTCTCTACAAATGGTTTTTTTTAAGTATTGTATCAATTCTATTAAATGTTACCCATGCTCCTCAAAGGGGGAAAAAACTAAAACAGAGCAGACTGAGTATCCTGAGGGTCACAGGAGAACACAGTGTAGGGGGGGTGTTTCAATGTCATCCAGTGTGAAAGTGCAACCACGGCTAAAATTGGACTGTGCGAAAACTCCATTGCAAAGATGGTTCCACATGGAATCGCATCAGCGACCAGACAACCTAGAAAAAACACACTATTGTGGAAGCCCCCAGGCTTCCTGAAACACATGTCTAGACAAACCATGAAGGGTTCTATTAATCAGCAATTTGTTTCACTCCAGTCTCATTGGAATGCAGTGGGCCTGTGATATCTAAAGTGGAAAACAGATACATTATATAGAAAAAATTACCCAGGAGAGTTGGACATAGCCAGACCAAGGCATTTCTCTTGTTTATTTTATGTTTATCTCTACCTTCAAGGAACGCCAAGCAGACTTCCATCCAGGCACTGCCGAGACCCCAGCCTGCTTAGCTTCAGCAAGGGTGCTGTGCATATGCCTTTCGACCATAATCCAACCCTTCTTCCCAACATTATCCATTTAACATCCTGGAAACTTGGATAATTCCTTGGACTACATTCTAATTTTTTTTTTAAAGTGGAACTCTACCACTCCAGTGTCATTTCCTCACATTCCTCTGCATTGCTGGAGCTCTTTCTGACCCCTGGAAAGATCAGTCCCAGGGCCACAGGACCCACATGCAGCTGTGAATGGAATGAGGAGGGAGGAGGAGGTGTAATTGCTCCTCCTTCATCTTCTGGAAGCACAGCTCAGGGGAGGTTCATCCCCTTGTCTCTCTTTGTTCCAGCCCACCAACCCTCACAGCTGTTCCTCTGCACGGATCCTAACCCCAAGAATGATCTTTCCAGGGGACAATCAGGGCTTTTTTTTGTAGAAAAAGCCCAGCAGGAACTCATTAGCGTAATAGGCCAAACCCAACACCAGAAACTCATTAGCATATTAGGCCACTCCCCTGACAGCACCACTTATTGACATATTAGGCCACACCCCCATGTTACCAAATGTGTGCTTATCCAGCCACACCCACCTTTTGCTTCTTATTCTGTTTACCTTGTTTATTGTCCAAACCCAGGGCTTTTTTGTAGCAGGAACTTTTTTGCATGTTAGGCCACAGACCCCTAATGTAGCCAATCCTAATGAGTTTCTGCTGTTGGGTGTGGCCTATTATGCTAATACGTTCCTGCTGGGCGTGTCCAACTTGGGAGCCAGCCGGAACTCCGTTCCTGTGCGTTCCTGCCCAAAAATAGCCCTGCCAGGGGTCAGAAAGAGCTCCAACAATGCAGAGATTGGTAGGGTATTGCCAATGCAAAGGCGACTGATGACTATAATGGCTGTAATACATAGGATCTGTGCAACTGTACAAAGGCTTTGGACTTGCCTTCTATGAAAATGGGAACACCGGCATGAGTCCCTTCCCATTGAAGGAGAAGCTCCGGTGGAGCTGTAAGTTACAGCCACTGAGTACAAAATCCTGTTTAAGCTGAGCTCTGTCTCCACAATTCACATAGGTACCGACCTGGAACGCCTAAACCCTGTCATGCCAGAGCGGGAGGCTTCCTCAATGAGAGGTGTTACAATCTTCTCTGTCATGTCAGTCAGCACAGTGAAAGTGGGCTCCACAATGAAATCAATAAAACCTGGGGGGAAAACACAGTGCAGCCAGATTAGCTATACACTTGCTGCCAGACTTACTGAGGTGGATGGACAGATACGTACTGCAGCACATTTTAAATACTTAGAGAAAACAGACACGCTGGACAGGCATTACCATTCTGTTGTAAGGTAATTCCTTAAACACTGGCGATAACAAAGTGTTGCAATTCAGCACAAGACAGATGGGGTTGAGCTGGTTCTCTGTGGGTTTGGCAGGATCCTGAGCCAAATTCCTGGTACAGCTGGTTTTGACTCAGCTTGGAGGACAGAACTTACGGAAGAACTAAAATAACCAAACTCTAATCAGACTTCTCAAGTCACTGATGTGCAAAGGAGAAGCAGCAAACGTGTTCCCTTGAATAGCCGCACTTCAAAGTTTGCCTTTGAATCACCAGCAATAATTATTCAGATGGTCATCCATGTTTAATTATTAAACCATTTGGGATGAATAATGTTGATAATACAGAGAACAAAAAGAAATTATCTCCTAAGAAACAGTATCAAATGAATGTCGCTGGCAGTTTATGATGTAGATTTCAGGGCAGTCACATTGGACACTAATTTTATGTATTACTCACCATTTGTAGTGCCAATTAAACAAATTGAGTAGTACATTACAGAAATGTCCTGAGAAGCACCATTCTCAATAAAAACATGACCGCTAATGTCATATGTAATTATGCCTGCAGATAATTCACTTATTTAATTTAGTTTACATGGGCCACGGAGCCTGTTACTCAGGATTCGTTATATATATTTTTTCCTTTTATGTCAGAAAATGATAGACTCAGAAGTAGCTCCTCTGTTATCTTTCACGGAATAAAGCTTGCACCAGAAGTGCCCACCTGTTCACACACGGCTCAAAACGGGGTTCATTGACTTTGAATAAGTTCTGTGTCACTTAACACATTGTGGGCTGGATCATATTATTTCCCAACTTCCTGCCCAAAGTGTACCTCCAAGTACCTTCTGTGATTCTCTTCCACTATGTCTTTTTCTTCAAGTAAATGTAAAGGTTTCCCTTCCTCGAAAGCTAGTCGAATCCGACTCTAGGGGGCAGTGCTCATCTCTGTTTCCAAGCTGAAGAGCCAGCGCTGTCCGAAGACATTTCCGTGGTCATGTGGCCAGCATGACTAAAACCAAGGTGCACGGAATGCTGTTACCTTCCCACCGAAGCAGTACCTATTTATCTACTTGCAATTTCTTGCTTTCGGACTGCTAGGTTGGCAGGAGCTGGAACCAGAGACGGGAGCTCACTCCATCATGCGGCATTAGGGTCTTGAACTGCCGAACTACAAACCTTCTGGTCTGCAGCTGAAGTCTTTCTTTGTTGAAGAAAGTCTTTCTCCTTTGAAAGTAAGCCATGGTGTAAAGAACTCACAGGATCCAGCTATGTGGAAGGGTGGCACAGAATGCAATTCTATGTTTTAAAGAATATGCATTATATCTTTGAAAGGGTGGCAAAGAAAACAGCATTTCCAAATGGGTGTATTCTGGGGATCTGCACTTTGGGGCATTTCAAAAAGGGTATACCATTATTCCAAAATTTTGGGAGTAATCATACCATTTCAGGGATCTGTTTTGAGTAATGGGGAGGACAGGAAATTTGGCTAAACTATATATCTAATAGCCAAGTTGCCCCCTGAGTGCGGATCGCTAAATCAGCGCTCCAGGGGCACTTGGGGGGGAGGGGGAGGTTTGTGCACACGTGGGCCAGTCCCCATGTGTGCACAAAAATCAAAAAAGTTGAAAAAAAATTCGGGGGGATGTTTAAATCTTCCCAAAAAGTGACAGAGCTGTAGCTGTAGCTGGCCTCGCCGCCGCTGGCCTCTCCGCCTCTGTAGCTGGCCTCGAGGGCGGGGGGGAGGACCGGCCTCGCCGCCGCCACCGCCGAGCCCGGCAAAGGGGGGGAGGACCGGCCTTGCCGCCGCAGCCTCGGGGAGATTGAGGGGGGATGGAGGAGACGGAGCTCTTCTCCCCCCCCCGCGAGTATTGCGGGTCCCCCTCTGTTCCTCCTAAAGGCAAGGTCTTCTTGCCACTGTGTTCAATGGACTGCAAACTTGCCATCTGAACTAGGCCGATTTCCCACAAGCGCTGCTCCACGCTCGCTCTTCCCTTTTGCCCTGATGGTACGTGTCAATTTCACACAAGCTGCTGCGCGGCCACATTTTGCCCCGAAGTCCTGCCATTCTGACATCTCCCACAAATCCCTACGGTCGGTGAGTTCTGCCAAGTTACGCCATTCTGAGGTTACCCAACAGTCCTACAGGTCTGAGGTCTCTCACGGGTTCCTAAGCACTGTGACCTCTGCCAAGTCCGGCCAGTCAAGGATCTCTCACGAGTCCCAAGACACTGTGGTCTCCAAAAGGTCCTCCCACAAGTCTCGGCATACCGAAGCCTTGCACTAGCCTTCATCTACCAGGCATGAGACTGATGCCGCAATATTGGCTGAAGCGAGGATCGACGCCATGTTGGCAGAACTTGCAAAAAGAGAAAAGGCTCTGGAGCTTCACGCAATTTCCCCTGCGTCTACTCAATCCTCAAAAAACAGTAGACGTGGGGAAAATCATGCGAAGCTGCTTGTGTGAAATTGACACGTACCATGGGGCAAAAGGGGAGAGCGAGCATGGAGCAGCGCTTGTGGGAAATCGGTCTACATCTATTCCCCCCTTCCCCAACATTCAACCTGGTGACCAAACAACTTGAAACACTTGTGCAATTTTATGATGTAGATTTTCATAAATCCTGAAGTTTTGGGAGTATTTTGAGTATTTCCAGCCCTATACAAAACAGGAAATCAAAGGCATCATTTTGGTTTGGGAATATCTGAATGCGAACCTCTAGTACATTCTTCAGAAAGCCAGGACAGGCTACAGCTCCCTGTTAATTGTACACTGGGTGTGAGAAACCTTGGTTTGCGTTTAAAATGGGGAATGGTGCCGAGAAGCACTCAGAGCCAGAGGAGGAAGAGGAGGCCATGGGTCAGTGGTATATAATCTGCTTTCCTTGCAGAAGTTCCCATGTTCAATCTCTGGCATCCCCACGTTTTTTTTTTTTTTTTTTTAAAAACACATTTAAAAGGACCAAATAGGAGGTTATTTGAAAGACCTCTCCATGAGATCCTTGTACCATTCAGAGTAGCCTTGATAGGCAACAGTTTCTGCTTCAGTATAAGGCAGGTTTGTGCGTGTGTCCAGAAGCAGAGGAATAAATGGACTGCAGGTAAGGAAGTCAGTTTGAATGCTGGACTATGCAGCACAATGGATTGGTACAAAAGGCCTTATCTGCCTGTGTGGCAGGGTACCCAAGCTGTTACCTTTGACTCACAAGGAGGAAGCTGTCTTTCTCAAGCAGAGATGATGCCTGTGTGTAGTTTTCCCCTAATAAGTAATACCTCCACTGGTTATCTTTGTGATGTATGTATGTATGTGTGTATAGATTTAACAGAGCACTCAAGAACTTCTGTCAACTTCTCAAATAATATGTGGTGCTGAGACTGTGATCTCTCAGCGTGTATTAGTGTTCTCCATTAGTATAAGAACATAAGAGAAGCCAATGTTGGATCAGGCCAGTGGCCCATCCAGTCCAACACTCTGTCACACAGTGGCCAAAGATACCAGGTGCCATCAGGAGGTCCATCAGTGGGGCCAGGACACTAGAAGCCCTCCCACTGTTGCCCCCCCCCCAATCACCAAGAACACAGTGCATCACTTGCCCCAGACTGAGAGTTCCTATCTATACCTTGTGACTAATAGCCACTGATGTTTTCCATATGTTTTCTCCCAGTTGGAAGAGCCCTGTTGTTGAAGCTACCAGAGTCTCCTGTACGATTTCAGAACTGCAGGGTGAACTGGAAGCAGGATAGGTAAGTTCAGCCCTATTCACCACAACTCAGCTCGGACGATACTACAACCTCAGCTAAGAAACTGAAGGAACAGCAACATCAAGGCCCTGCCAACTCCAGAGCAAATCTCAGTCTTCAGAAAGCCTTCCAGTGGCTATAAAATAAGCTCACCCATTACTGTAGTTACAAGGATACAAACCAAAGCAGTTACTGTCAACAAAGCCATAGTACACGGCCCCAAGACAGTGTGCCCAGATTTCTCTGCTTGAGTTTCTATGAGGAAGCTTTGCTCTGGTTTTAATGAGCCCGTTAAGAGGAGGGCGGGATACAAATCGAAAATAGTAATAGTAATAATAATAATAACAATAATAACAACAACAATAATAACAATAATAATAATGTTTCATTTCCAAAGTTGATGAGCTTCAGCAAGATGGCACAGCCAGTCACTCAGCTCTTTGGAATGGAAACAGACACCATTAAAGGTGTAACAAGATCCCTGCAAGATCACAGCACTGATCCATCTACTCCAGCATCCTGTTCCACACAGTGACACAGCAGTGACCCTGGTGGGCCAACAAACAGAGCACAGATGCCTGCTCTAATGTTGCCTCCCAGCAATGCTATTCAGAGGCCCTGTTCACACGAGACGTTTTGGGCCGGGAGAGGGACGGATTGGGGCTGCAGCAAACGAGTGCGATCCCACAGCAACATCTGGGAATCGTGCTGCGCCCGTTCCCAATCCCCCCCTCCCGGCCAAACCCCGCAGCAAAAAAGAACCACCTACTGCTGGCCGTGGGATCGCTGGCGCATCTTTCCACCAGCGCATCCCCGGCCCCCGGCCGTACTGCGCATGCTCAAGCATGCACAGTTCAGCAGCCTCCCCCTCCCAATCGTCTCTTCCTCCCCGGCATCTGATCGTGCCGGGGAGCAACGGCGCCGCGGCTCAGGGGATCGTGGGATCCCGCCGCGGCGTCTCTTTTTTGGTGCGGCTTTTAAAAGCCGCACTTTGGGCAGTGTTTTCCCTGCCGTGTAGCAGGGGCCAGAGGTATGCTTCCTCTGAATATAGAGGTTCTGTTTAGCCACTACAGCTAGTGGCCACTGACAGACCATTATTACTCAAGGGAATGAGTAATGGAAAGGACTGGTGTTCTTAGAAGCAATCATCAGGCATCTCAAAATTGATAATGGGGAGTGACCCACAAAACACTAAGGTGTGGCTTTGGGAACATGGAGGTTAGACCTGCCTTCCCATCCAACCTCCCAACAGAATCCAAGGTCCTGATCATTAAAGGTGATGGAATAAACGTGTGGAATAAACTCCATTTGATTATCAGTATGTTCTGAAACTGTGGGCTTCTTCTTCCTTGCCAGGCAAAGGGCAAAAATGAAATAATGTCACTACACTTATCAAAGGAAAGAGGCACAGGATGACAACAAGGAGCTACAGTCTCCAATCAAACAAGCCTCCTACAGCCTCAGACAGAAGGGAAGGCTTTGACATCTTCCAAGCTCCTGCTGAGCAATAAGGAACAATCTTGGCTTGGCGTTCTGCTGCCATTTGCCTGGTTGATGGGAAAGGTAGCTAGCTTTCAGAGATGGGCATCAGACTCATGGGCAAAAAACAAACAAACCCACCCGCTTTAGAAAAGATAATGGCCTTGGCTGTTAACATTGTTGATTTCACCAGGAACACAACATACTGAAAAACTCCAGTGAACAGTTTTCATCAAGTTTTTAAAGTTTGTTTTTTTAACAAGATTTTCTGAGTTTTTCAAACGTGCCAGTGTGTCTAACGTGCAGCTCCCTGAAGCATTTTTCAGTTCAGTGCAGATGGGAACGTCAGAGCTGTGGTGAATGCAAGCTATTGTTCGAAGCCCACTTCATACTATGTGTTCATATTCTGGTTTGCAGCCACAGATTAGATATTTAGGTGTGACACATAACCATGGTGGCGAGAAAACAATCCCTATTGAAGTGTTACTTCTGCTGAGGATCTTCAATTAGTTTAATTAGCCTAACAGAGAGTTAAGCTTCTGTCAAATCTACCCAAAACCTATCTATGTAGAATTTTGAAATATACTACTAGACAGATTGACACCAAACGTAAATAGGCAGGCACTGAAGAGAAACAGTGTGCTGTGATGGTTTGAGGATACAAATAGGCATGAGGTGACCTGGATTCAAACTGAATGTGTGATCCTGGCCAGTCACTCTCTCTCAGCCTGCAGTCACACACACTAAATAATCCACTTTCAATCCACTTTTCAACTGGATTTTGCCAGTTCACACAGCAAAAATTCAGTTGGAAAGAGCACTGAAAGTGGATTGAAAGTGGATTATTTAATGTGTGTGACTGCAGCCACAATGTATAAATTACCTCACAGGGTTCTTGTGAGGAAAAAATTAGGAGGGGGAAGAACTATGTACACTGCCCAGAGCTCCTTGAAGAAAGGATGGGATAGAAATGCAGTAGAAGGATGCAGAAAACCTGAGGCAGCTGTAAAAAACTAAGAATTAATATGCTGTTGAAGATTTCCACGGCCGGAGTTCATTAGTTGTAGGTTTTCTGAGTTGTGTGGCCATGGTCTTGTGGGACCTGACGTTTCGCCAGCAACTGTGACTGACATCCTCAGAGGTATAACACAGAAAGGTGGAGTACTCTCTGTGTCAATGTGAGAAGAAAAATGGTAGGCAGGTAATTTATATCTAATCAGGAAGGTGGGGTAGGGCTGAGTCATTATCTTGTAGGAGTTTCCCAGGCTGTGCCATGCTAATGGAGGAGCTCTCCTGAGGAGGTTCTTTTGCACATGGTTTGGCTGTTGAAATTCTAATCTTATCTGTAGTGCTATTGTAAGATGTAGAGCATTTTGTGTTTTTCAGGACAGGAAACCATGCCCTATTTATTTTTAAACTCTCTTCTTTCCTGTCGAAATTGTATTTATGTTTATAAATTTCAATGACTTCCCTGTGTAATCTGTTATGGTAACTGGATGTGTTGTCCAGCAGTTTAAAAATAAATAGGGCATGGTTTCCTGTCCTGAAAAACACAAAATGCTCTACATCTCACAACACCACTACAGATAAGATTAGAATTTCAACAGCCAAACCATATGCAAAAGAACCTCCTCAGGAAAGCTCCTCCATTAGCATGTCAGAGCCTGGGAAACTCCTACAAGATAATGACTCAGCCCTACCCCACTTTCCTGAGTAGATATAAATTACCTGCCTACCATTTTTCTTCTCACATTGACACAGAGAGTACTCCATCTTTCTGTGTTATATCTCTGAGGATGCCAGTCACAGCTGCAGGCAAAACGTCAGGTCCCACAATACCATTCAGCCCGGAAAATCTACAACAACTAACAAACTGAGAATTGCAGAGGGGATGAGGAGATGTTTGGTGCTTTAATAGCATAATGAATCCCCACACATCCAAAGCTCAGGTTCTTTTGTACTTGCCATATTTTCCACTTTGATCACTGTAGAGTAGACGGCATTTGTACTATGACCTTTCACCTAGAACTATCATTGTAAGGTATTCCTTGTAAGAAAATTAATCAACTACACTTCTCTAGAAAATTGCTACCGATGTAAAAAAATGAACTATTCTCCCACAGTCTTCAGCTTTGAGAGGGGAGAAAAACAAGCAAAAACCCTTACATCTTAGCATAGCAACAAAGAACATTATGGCTCTTGATTTAATCACAATGTCTCTGTATGAAGACACTAAATGATTTCTAGCTGTGCAGCAGTCTGAGAAATGAAAATTGCTGTAATCCTTGGAATGCGAGACTTGCAAAGAGAATGCCATTATTAACACTGGTTAGATGAAGTAAAGCTTCCGCAAATTACATCAAGTGCTTAACAGCACTAAACTGTATAAATCAGCCTGTAGTACTGGCTGAGTGTTTAGTTCGCTTGCTGAAGTTGTCTTTGTTAACAATGTGATTCACTATTAATTTCACAAATGATTTGTTCAGTGGAGGAGAAGGACCTTTCTGATAATTCTGGCCCAGAATATTTTTAAAGGAATACATTTTCCTCTATCCTAGATATAGGTAGATGCTTCAGTCCAAACCCTCGGACAATGTGCCCTGGTGCCATCTATATGTCTAGCAGCAGGAGTCATGACTTTCTTTTAATTGGGGAGGCCAGGTACTGAACATGGGACCATAACCATGCCATTCACGGCTCCCTCATTAAATGCCTGTTCCAAAATGTAATCTGAGTATTTACCACCTGGAGTGCACACCTTATGTGCTCTTTCCTCATGCCAATACAGGATTTTACTGCAAGAGAGCTGGAAAAGGGACTAGTTACTTATTTAGAAATGCGTATGCTGCCTCTCCCAAGATCTGGGGAGATGCTCTCAAAGTAAAAACACCACAACTTTAAAATCATTAAAACAACAATAAACATAAAAGTTATCAATATTAAAAAGCAGTCAAAAATAAGCCAAACACCTGCCAGGGTAATAAAAACAGCACAAAACAATATTCACTGGCTTAGAATGTAGCCATAAAGAACTGTCAGCCTGGAAGGCAGCTGCAGGCCATGAAAACAAACACTAAAAAGATTTACCCTGAGAAAAATTAATAATTGTCATTGAACCGTCATTGCCATACATTTACATTACATGCAAAATAACAGCTAGGTTCCATACAAAACCACAGCTCCAGAGCTATCTATGAAAGAACACTTCTGCTCTCCGCTGTAAATTTAGTCTTATTCGATATACCTACCTACTTGAGACTGAGGAACCATAGTGGATTTGCGATCACACAAAGGGGAAAAAGGAAGCCCTAATTCTGCTTCTTTGTCACCCTGGGGAATAAAAAGGAAACAAGCAGGTTAGGGCAGAGCAAGAATGCAGGCCACGTTTCCTCAACTAGCACAGAAAACATTTCCTGCTGTAGTTTGACTTCAGCCAACATTATCATGGAGAGCAAGGATTTCTGCCTGTGGACCATGACTCCCTCTCCTCCACCCTCTACGGTTTCCAACTCTGAGAGTGGGAAAATTCCTGGAGACTGGGGGGGGGGGCTGAGGAGGACAGGGGATGGGAGGGTATAATGCCATAGAACCCATCCTCCAAAGCAGCCATTTTATCCAGGGGACCTGATCTCTGTCATCTGGAGATGAGTTGTAATTCCAGGAGATCTCTAGGCAACCCTATCACACTCCCGTGGCAACCTGAAATGTCCCCCCTCATCCTGTTCCTGGAGGAAAGAGGGGAAGAATTTCAGGTGACATTTGGGGTTGCTGCAGGTGGGGGGACGTTAAGAAAGTAATGCTCTGAGGATGGAAATCCTTGCACCCCCATAAAAGCTCCAATGGATCTGAGCCATTCTCTACAATTTTCCGAGAGGACTCACATGAGCTGTAATCCAGAGAGCTACTTTAGGCATGTCCTGTATGGGACATTGTTTTTCTCTTTGGAGCATCAGATTCCATCACAAGAGACCAGCTCTTTTCGTGCAGCGGCCTGAGCCCACTCACATCAGGAAAACTTAAGGGCACATATTTTCTTAAGAAGGGGCAGCAGTTTTTATTAAATGTCAGCAACAGGGCATAGAGACCGAGGACTTCCCCTGATGTTGCCTCCTGGCTCTGGGATGTAGAGGCTTAGTGCCTCTGAATGTGTAGGTTCCCCTCAGTCACCATGGCTAGCAGCCATTGATAGACATCCTCCATGAATCTATGTAATCCCCTTTTAAAGGTGTTTGTTCCTTTGATCATCACTATATCCTCTGACAGTGAATGCCACATTTTAATCACTTTCTGTGTAGTCTTTCCTTTTGTCTGTCCTGAACCTACTGCCCAACAGCTTCACTGCATGCCCTCGAGTGCAGGTATTTTGGGAGAGGGAGACAATTTTCTCTTTGTCAACTCTCTCCACCCCACACATAATTTTATAAACCTTGATCGTGTCCCCCCTTAGTCATCCCCCTTTAGTGATGTTATTTATCTCCACGCCATAGAAATATTCTTCTGCCTATGTTAGAACATAAGAACATAAGAGATGCCAATGTTGGATCAGGCCAAAGGCCCATCCAGTCCAACACTCTGTATCACACAGTGGCCAGAAATACCAGTGCCATCAGGAGGTCCACCAGTGGGGCCAGGACATTAGAAGCCCTTCCACTGTTGACCCCCCCAAGCACCAAGATGACAGAGCATCACTTGCCCCAGAGCCCCTATCTATACCTTGTGGCTAATAGCCACTGATGGACCTCTGCTCCATATGCTTATCTAATTCCCTTTTGAAGCCGGCCATGCTTGTAGCTGCCACCCCTTCCTGTGGCAGTGAATTCCAAGTGTTAATCACTCTTTGGGTGAAGAAGTACTTCCTCTTATCCGTTCTAACCCGACCGCTCAGCAGTTTCATGGAGTGCCCACGAGTTCTTGTATTGTAAGAAAGGGAAAAAAGTACCTCTTTCTCTACCTGCTCATTCCCAAGCATAATCTTATAAACCTGTCCACACATTAAGTCTCCACTAAAGGGACGGGGTATTTTTCTCCAAGCTGTTGGCATTTTTTTTCCAGCACCCATAATTATTTTAGTCCAAATTATCTGGAACAGTGCAGTTATGCACTTTTTGCCACACGTGTACAGAAAGAGAGAGAGAGAGAACAAGAGAACGAGAACCTTTCAACACTAGTCCTTTGTGTGGCAAAACAAAACAACACACACCAAAAAAAACATTTTGCAACAGAAGACTGAGCATTTATGGGTTCAAGGAGGGATAGAGGGTGAAGCATTGGAAGGCTTATGCATTTATGGGTTCAAGGAGGAATAGAGGGTGAAGCATTGGAAGGCACATGCACAACCATTCTTCTTTGGTAAAAACATGGCCACAGACAATGTTCCCTCTAAGCTGTGGAGTCCTCTGAGCAAAAATTCTACTTTGTGAGCTACTGGCATTAAAGTTGTGAGCAGGTGAATTGGCTACTGAATAACTTAGTTTGCTCTGGAGCCATCCCTTCCTGAGCGAAGACAAAAATGTGTGAGCCGGAGGCTAAAAAACTGTGAGCTAGCTCACACTAACTCAGCTTAGAGGGAACACTGGCCACAGATTAATTTTATTAATGCAGGCAGAAGGAGCAACGGCACAGCACAAGGACGGATCCAAGCATCAGGCAACCATGCTGCTGCCCGATGAGTCACAACACCAGTCCGCCTGCTGGGGATCAACCATGGAGTGACGAGGTACTGGGACACATGTGGGCGCTGGCCTCTACATGGCCCTCTTGCCACCTGGTGGTGGAGCCAGCCAGGAGCCCCTGCCTGGGCATGTGGCTGAGTGGCTCCACACTCCAAGGTTCCACACTCCAAGGGAGCCCCCAAAATGGGGAAGGCGAGCGTGCAGGCATGGCCTCAGCCCCCCCCCCCAAGGATCCCAATGTCCAAACTACCATGCTGTGACAGTAAAGAGCAAAATAAACAAAACTAAGCATCATGTAAGACCAAAATACAAGGGCAGGTGGGCGGGTAAACTGGCATGCCGAGTTACACAGAGGCCAAAGTCTCGTGTGGAGCCCATTTAAATAGCCTGCTGGGCCATCTCTGCCCGTGCTTACTTCACCAAAGGCCACCACGTGGCCAAGCCTACTTCCTTCTAGTCTCCTTCACCTCCTGCACCACAAATGCTGGTGGAAGGTGAGTCTTGGTCGTGCTTCTTAGAATCCCTGATTTTTGGAACCCAGAAGTATATATCTATGGAACTTTAAAGAATTCCCCTCTGATATTTTTGAATGCTGGGGAAAATAGGGGAGAAATACTGCCCCCCAAGCATGAAGCTCTTTCACACTGCTCCCTGAATTTCCCACAGACCAGGTGTCAATACAGAAGTGAGTGAGGAGGGATTTGATACAGATATGTGCCCTAGTGGGATCTTGCAATCATTCTGACAAATGACCACTGAAAACATGTCCAATTTATGGGAAACATTCATTGTGAAGAAATAGAAAACTGAAATTATCTCTACGGTATGCCAACTATTGCAAATATGTGAAATGAAAAGGTAACAGAATCCTTTAAAACGTAGGAGAATCACTGCAACATTACTCATAAAACACATAAACAGGGGGAAATAGACATACTTCAGTGTCTCCTGTGAAAGGCTATATGTGGATGCTATGGGGTTTCTTGTTAAGTATGTGAATATTATTCAATGCAGATCTCTATTTAACAACTGCATATCTGAAACTTCATGGTGTAACAATAAAAATCTCTACTCTGGTTGTGCGTTTAGCTCTGTAGCATGAAATGATGTTTAGCCTAAAGTGTGTGTGTGCCTGTCAGACATCCATCCATCCATCTATCTATCCATCATCCATCTACCCATCTACCCATCTATCTACCCATCTATCTACCCATCTATCTACCCATCTATCTATCTATCTATCTATCTATCTATCTATCTATCTATCATCTAATCTATCTATCTATTGGCCTGGCATGATCTGATCCATGGTGTCGCGAAGAGTCGGACTCGACTGTGCGACTGAACAACAACAAATCTATCTATCTATCTATCTCTATCTATCTATCTATCTCTATCTATCTATCTATCTCTATCTATCTATCTATCTCTATCTATCTATCTATCTCTATCTATCTATCTATCTCTATCTATCTATCTATCTCTATCTATCTATCTATCTCTATCTATCTATCTATCTCTATCTATCTATCTATCTCTATCTATCTATCTATCTCTATCTATCTATCTATCTCTATCTATCTATCTATCTCTATCTATCTATCTATCTATCTATCTATCTATCCATCCATCCATCCATCCACTTATCTAGCTATCTATCCCATCCATCCATCCATCCATCCATCCATCCATCCATCCATCCAATCTCAGAGGTCCACCCGCTGACAGGAATGATCTAAAATGAAAATGGCAGATGGCTAATAAAATAATGCATTAATATCTGTAATTAAAGAGCTGATGCTTAGTCAGCTGAAGCTCCCTATAGACCAGCATCAAGTGGGAGGGATGCCATGCACTCAATGGGATTCAGCCAAGGCAAAGCCATTGTATTATACATACACACAAACCACCATCTGTATCATAGCTGATGAACAGTCAGGCCATATACAAATGCTCTGCATAACTGAATAGATGTTTTCCTAGATGAATGTTGCCTCATGACAGGCCCTGAATAATAAAGTCAGGTGGACTTATAGAAGGTATATCCTGCACAATTATGCTTGGAAGGTCAGTGGCAGAGGACTTGTTTATCCAAGTCAAGTTCTTCAGATTGTTATCCTAAGATTAAAAAATCATTCTCTTCGAAAATTAGACCTCCCTTGGTGTTTCTGCCACACCTTCTTGCTGACGGCCTTGGGTTCCCACACTCAGCAACAAGCGAACTCAGTAATGGATGCCTGCCTGCTTCTGAGAGGATAACCTCTTGCATTAATCACTGTAATGCACTCTGTACAGGAGAGCTCCTGAAGATGTTCTGGAAACTACAGGTAGCGCAGTATGGGACAGATCATCTACAGACCAAGTTTGTCTCCAAGGAAACCATTAAACCCCAATTGGCCTGTTTGCATTAGCTGCTTGCAACAAGACCCTGCTCAGAGTTTACTGTGACCCTTCAAGACTCTGAGAGTATTAATTCAGTTACACAAGCCTCCCCACTCTCTAAGGGCCGCCAGAAAGGCCTTGCTCTGTGTTTCTTCCCCATTTGAAGTGAAGGCTCGCTTCCTTGGGTAAATCTCCACAGGAGTTAAAGTGAGTCCAGCTGACGTGATGCTGGGAATAAATTGGCTCTTCGAAAGGGCCAGAATGTGCAAAACATTTTAAAACAACCATGGGTGACTTCTCATAATGTCCTATCAGGCGTCATTAGAAAAGTGACACTAAATATTTTTCATTGTCCTGCTGGCCTGTAATCTGATTTTTTTTTTAAGCCCCCGGGGGGATTTAAAATTTTTTTTTATCACTACAAAAAACTACAACAGAAAAAAAGTAAGGGGAAACTACATATACGGGAGAAAGTAAAGAACCCACTACTAACTAAAACCCCAAGAGAGGAGATCCTCCAACTAGCTTAGTACATTGAGTCTTCTCATCATTAATCCTTTTGTATACTGAGTCAAACATTTATAGCACTTTTTCTTTAAAGCTTAGATTAACTGTCTAGTAACAGTACCCCCAATCATCCCAAAACCAAAGTCTCAAAGGCACAATTCAGAGTCCTTCAGCCTTTACTTCTCCTTTCCCCTTCTCTTCCGCAACTTATAAGGACTCTTTGGGGCCTGTAATCTGATTTATCATGGAAATGGTTCGGGGGGGGGGGTAGCCATGTCGGTCTGTAGTGGAAGAGCCAGATTCGAGACCAGTAGCACTGTAGAGACCAACAAGATTTTCAGGGTCGAAGCATCTGATGAAGGGAGCTTTGACTCTCGGGCCCATTACACACAAATTACTTACTGCAAATTTTCCAAGCAGTAAGCCTTAAGTCTTGACTTCGGGTTCTGTGCCCACCTTACAGATAATTCTTTTTCCTCCAGTGTATTCATTCTGCAGCTACAACAACCCCCCACCCCACACTTTTCTAAATCAGGGTGGAACGTCACTTGTGACATGTGAAGGGTGGCAAGTGATGCCCTGTATTCTTGGTGTTTGGGGGGGGCAACAGTGGGAGGGCTTCTAGTGTCCTGGCCCCACTGCTGGACCTCCTGATGGCACCTGGTATTTTTGGCCACTGTGTGACAGATGGGCCATTGGCCTGATCCAACATCTCTTATGTTCTTATGCTCAAAGTTTGTTTGTTTTTTTAAATGCAATTGCCCCATCGCAGCTGTGCAGTAGCATTCAGCAAGCGCCTTCCATTTAAATCCTTGTGGTTCAACTTTTGCACGTGCATTTTAGCATTAGTTTATTGAATGAAAGGAAACAGAAAGGAACTGACAAGCAGCTGTGAAGCCCCATTTTCCATATTGCCGAGCACTAGGGGATTCTCCGCTGTGTTATTGGCCACTGTGAAAAATGGGAAAGAGTCACACAAACTCATAATATGGGGGGAACATGTACAGAATGCACTGTGCTGAAGAAAGGAGAATCAATGCAGAACAACAAAGAAAACCCGACAGACATGCATGGTGAAAGCAAGGGAAAACACTCATGCATAATAGGCCTCAAAAGTTTATACCCTGAAAATCTTGTGGTTTCTAAGGGACTACTGGACTTGAATCCTGAAGATGATCATGGTGGTTGCTGATGAAGAAGGATGGGTGAAAGTACTCTGGAGGAATGTATGCATCATCCCCGAATACTTCACACAATCTCCAGCCAAAGAAGGCAGTACAACCCCACATAACATACTACAATGTAATCAGTATTTCAGGTGCCACCATGCATAAAAGTAGAGTATTGCTCTAATTGTATGGGGGGGTGGGACCATGTACCTTTATTGTACTTTTCCTAGTGTTTGACTCTTTTCTGAAAACTTAAAAGACTGTAGGCAATTGTCACTCCGGCTTTCTTTTGCAACTACTTCATCATTCTGTCCACAAAAGTGCACAGCAGTTTGTCAAGTTGCCCTACTTACCTGTCTGAAGAACTCCTCTAGCAATGACATGGTCCAGCGATGATGGAGATCCCATGCCTTGGCAGGATGACTGATATCTGCAGTATGCAACATCAGTGATAAGGCTTTCGGTTTGTCAATTCTGCAAGCCCAAACAACGGAACAAACCGTGAGATGGGAAAGAGACAACTCAGCAAGGAAATGAGCTATCATAACCTTTGACACTGAGATTGACTTAAGTCTTTACAGATCTTGACAACTATAAAATATTAATTTAACCTCCTTGATGGGAATGGGGGTCATTCCAGAGTGTTAAAAGAGCAACAAGGTGTGGAGCCAGAGTTCGGACCATTTACTTTGCAAGATTTTGTATATACGGACAAACGAGTTTGGACGTGATAGTCTCGGTCTGACCTGCTCCCTGTATTTTGGAAATGTAGATCGTAGACTGGATCCAACCAGCTGAACTGGTGATGATAAAGGACAGAAGGAGAGGCCCATTTAAAAAGGCTATGCTGAAAATCATGAGGCTGTGGCAGGGGGGGGAACTGGGAAAGACTGAGTGAAAAAACCGGCTGGATCTAATCATGTGTTTATGTTTACACAAACAGCAAGATGCTAATTTGATACTATTCATGTATCGGTCTTCCTTAGGGTGTCCCAACTGGACTGGGAGCAACACAGGCTTACAAATATTGCATATAAATAAATAAGATAGGGTGCATGTACACTGTAGATTTAAGCCACTTTTGAATTAGAGTTTGTAAAGCTTATTTCAGATGTCATTGTGAACAGGTTTTGTGATTATTTGCTCCCAGATGATGTAGTCGTGGCCACAGGCATAGACTGCTTTAAAAAGGGATTAGACAGATTCATGGAGGATAGGTCTATCAGTGGCTACTAGCCATGAGGATTAAATGGAACCTCCATGTTCAAAGGCAGTAAACCTCTGAATACCAACATCAGGAGGAAACAACAGTGGGAAGGCCTCTGGCTCAATGATCTGTTGTTGAACCTCCCGAGGAACTGGTTGGCCACTGTGTGAGACAGGGTGCTGGACTAGATGGACCACTGATCTGATCAAGAAGGGCTCTTATGTTCTTATCATGTGCTCCCTCCTCCCGCCATGTGCTCCAAATCTCTCCCTTGCCTCCCTGGTTTGAGAGAACTATTATTTACAGTGATGTCTGAACTGGTCAAACGATGGTAACTGCAAATCAGTAATGGATGGTTTGCAGTGACCATTCCTTGCCTGATCTGACGTCACAGCAATATAGTTATTGTACACAGGAAAGCTAGGGAGGGAATGGGAGCTTGTGAGAAGGAAAGAGGAGTGTGTGTACAAACACAAAGCCTGTTCACCTTACTATTTGGACTGGGTGTGGTGTACAGATATTATTAACAGATTGCTGAGCGACCTTTTCAGGGCTCTTTTGGAAGGAAATTATAGTTAAACCAATCTAGGCTGGCCCGCTTGCGGGGTAGGGCGGGGTAGAAATACCTGAATAAATAAAAAATAAATAAATATAAGTAAGCATTACCTGAATTACTTCTACAGCTAAAAAATCAAGAAGATCCTGAGGTGTCATAGTTTAGTGTAGTGGTTAAGTGCATGGACTCTATTCTGGGAGAACTGGGTTTGATTCCCCACTCCTCCACTTGCAGCTGCTGGGTGACCTTGGGCAACCCATAGTTCTGTCAGAGCTGTTATCGCAAGGACAGTTCTCGAAAGAGCTCTCTCAGCCCCACCTGCCTCACAGGGTATCTGTTGTGGGGGGAGGGGGAGGGAATTGTAAGCAGCTCTGAGACTCCAAGTGAAGGGCAGAGTATAAATCCAATCTCTTCTTCTTCTTCTTCTTCATATGCATAGTCAGGATCTCATTCCACAAGTGACATCCCATCTCAGCTGATGTGCAACTACATGCAGGCTCTTAACAGTGGTGGTGTTGACATGTCAGTTTTGACCCTTAGCTTTGTGCTTTGATCTTGCATTTGCCTCCTTCGACATCTTCTCTATGCCATTTTCTAGCATAACCTTCAGTCAAATCCCAGTTGAGACTGTCAGTATTTCTTTACTCATTTAATTTCCAGCCTTCCTCCTATCATGGAATTCAAGGTGGTATCTATAACTTCACTGTGTTGGGTTTTTCCCCCCTCTGTGAAGGACAAAGTGTTCTTCTCTGAGGTGGATGACAGGGAAAAAAATCAGGTGGCCATGAAAAGGACTCATGCTGTGTGTGCTAAACATGGTTTTGGAAGTGATAATGACAGAGGCAGGAGGCACAGCAGGTTCAATGTGGGGATGTTTGTACAACTTCAGTCAAGGGATCTGTGAGAGCACAATTCAGATGAGACACAGAAGAACAGAAAGCACAAGATCATTTGTGGCTCCTGCTGTTCCCCCCCATGTCTGAATCGGATCTGATAACAAAAATACAGCATCTGATATAAAAATACAGCACCTCTCTAAAATCCTGTGGTGAAATGAATCTTGTTTTGGTGGAAAGTGGGAATAAGCAGAAGTGGAATAAGGCTAGAGATGTCCTCATTAGGGTCTAGTCCAGCAGCTTGGGACCTGGGCCAGGTGGTTAAATTCCAGAACAGAACAAGGAGCCGGTGTAGTCCACTTTGCCAAGTTGTGATGCATATCATTGGTGGTATGGAAACAGTAGACAAGAGAAGACAAGTAGCTTCAGTCGAGTTCATTGCATCCCAGCAAGACTGCCTGATGAATATATAGAGCTGCCTTGCAATGTGTCAGAACATTGGTCCATCTAAGTCATTATTGTTTACTCTGACAACAGCAGCAAGCCTCCAGGGGCTCCAGTGGAGAAAGACTTTTCCCGTTGCTGCTACTAAATGGAGATGACAGGGACTGGACCGTGGGATGTTCAGAAGAAGAAGAAGAAGAAGAAGAAGAAGAAGAAGAAGAAGAAGAAGAAGAAGAAGAAGAAGAAGAAGAAGAAGAAGAAGAAGAAGAAGAAGAAGAAGAAGAAGGAAGAAGAAGAAGAAGAAGGAAGAAGAAGAAGAAGGAAGAAGAAGAAGAAGGAAGAAGGAAGAAGGAAGAAGGAAGAAGAAGAAGAAGAAGAAGAAGAAGAAGAAGAAGAAGAAGAAGAAGAAGAAGAAGAAGAAGAAGAAGAAGAAGAAGAGGAAGAAGAAGAAGAGGAGGAGGAGGAGGAGATTGGATTTATACCCCGCCCTTCACTTGGAGTCTCAGAGCGGCTTACAAACTCCTTTCCCTTCCACTCCCCACAACAGACACTCTGTGAGGTGGGTGGGGCTGAGAGAGCTCTGACACAAACTGCTCTTTTTCAAGGACAGCTGTGCCAGAGCTTGTGACTGACCCAAGGTCACATCAGCAGGTGCAAGTGGAGGAGTGGGGAATCAAACCCGGTTCTCCCAGATTAGAGTCCGCACACTTAACCACTACACCAAACAGTACAGAAAACGTATGCTCCATCGCAGCCCCATCACTACGCCACAACCTTCCGTCATTATGTTTTGAGTTTCTGACACTGATTTTTCAAGTTCTGTCTCTCTGTCAGGAGACCCCCTCAAGGGCTATCCTCCTGAGGTGCCAGAAAGGTATATTCTTCATTGAAAGGTAAGGCTCTTCAAAGACTACCCTTTTCAACTAGGTAGGAACCAGTCCACAGATCTCAATGCAAATGCCGCATCTCCTAACGGAGCTGGACATGAAGCTCTTGCCCATAATTCCCCAAAGAACAACCTGTAACTACTAAGCAGGAATAATGCAGCAGGTGCATTCCTGGAAGAAAGGAAACAACCTCTTACTTTCTCTTCTACCTCCATGCTAGCTAATCTGAAGCTAAACACTGTCTTTCCACACTGGGGAGGAACACATCTGAGGTCTTTAATCCTCCTCTGTACCATATACACAAAGGCCATGGAATCCAGGCTGCAGGATGGGAAAGTAGTTTTCCTGCCTTGGCCCTGTCCATAGTGGAGCAACAACACCCTCAGTCTGATAAAGATCAATTATTAGTTTCCTTTGACCAATGCTCCACTGTTTAAAGAGAGAAGGTGGGATGACATAGCCTGATCTCATCTGATCTCAGAAGTTAAGCAGGGTCGGTATTTGGAAGGGAGACCACCAAGGAAGAGACTGCAGAGGAAGGCAATGGCAAACCACCTCTGCTTCTCACTTGCCTTGAAAGCCACTTGCTGGGGTCAGTTTAAATTTGACAGCAATTTATACACACATGCTGTTTTGGACACTTTGCTCCTCTGGAACTAAGTATGTGTGTGTGCAGATTCAATTAATGTGAACAGAAATAGGCACAGACATCAGAAATGCTGGGTCCCCCCCCCCCAGAGAGATATTTTTGCAGCTTGTTTAATGAAGTGGCAAAGTACCAGCTGTAATACAGCCCTGCGCTGCACAGTGTCACAAGGTGACTCACCCCTCTGGCTGCTGCAATGCGTTCTTCATGGCTTTGATTTGCTGGAAGTGACAGGACATATCTGTCGCCAGCACCATCTCAATCACCAGAGTCCTGAATTCCCTTTTGGGTAGAGATCAAATCAAGGCAGGGTGGGGGGGGGGAGAGAAAGGGTCAGAAACATGTAAGAAACTTTTTTTTTTCAGTCCGTCGAACTCCAAATCCTTTATGACATTCTCACTCTACACTGCAATGTGCGTCATTGAGCACTTCACATTATCGTTTTTTTAGTGGGGCTTAAGGGCAGGGAGGCATGTCGGCTGCAAGTAGCAGACCTGGAATGAGCAACTGAAGTCAGCTGATGTTGCCTTGCTTCTGGAGAGATAACCCGCTGCTTCTCAGAAAATGGCATTGGAACGTTTTGTCTTCCATGAAACATGAAGTTCCAGCATCAACTATGATGCCAGGAAGGCTAAAACTGCTTATTCTGATGGCATTCCAGACCACCAGCTTCCTGTCTAAGCTACACAGCATTAGCCCCCACCCCAGCCCCCAAATGCATGGCCCCAGCAGACGGTACAATGGTTGCTAACTCTCCATGCAAAGAGGGCCCTATTGTAGCCTACCTCAGTGTTTAAATTGAGCCCCATTTCAAAATGTAGGGACTCTCAGGGACCCTGTTTTGAGTGCACTTCTGCCTTGTGCAAATAAAACCTAGGATACCATATTTTCATGTCATTTTTGTTCCTCCCATCAACTTTTTCCTTTAGAGGATTTTCCAAGGTTATTTCTGCATCAATAGATCGGCATTCTTAGTTATTTATTTGTTTGTTTGAACTTTTCCCCTGCCCTCCCAGCCGAAGCCAGCTCAAGGCAGCTTACAAAAACAGATACTTTCTCCATATATGTATAATGCCACTTTCTCCATATATATATAGTGATATGCATTGCATGTATAAGGACCACATTAACAATCAAACCAAGTGTACATACAATCTACAGAACAAACAGCAAAAAGCAAATAATGTATCTGATTTTTGCCATACCTCAGCCAAGGACCTTAGGGTGACATATAACACCCCCCTTTTTTGCCTTACAACAACCCTGTAAAGCAGGGCTCTTTTTGTAGAAAAAGCCCAGCAGGAACTCATTAGCATAATAGGCCACACCCAACAGCAGAAACTCATTAGCATATTAGGCCACACCCCAATGTTACCAAAAGTGTGGTCATCCAGCCACACCCACCTTTTGCTTCTTATCCTGTTTACCTTGTTTTTTGTCAAAACCCAGGGCTTTTTTTGTAGCAGGAACTCCTTTGCATGTTAGGCCACACACTTCTAATGTAGCCAATCCTAATGAGCTCCTGCTGTTGGGTGTGGCCTATTATGCTAATGAGTTCCTGCTGGGCGTGGCCAACTCAGGAGCCAGCCGGAACTCCGTTCCTGTGCGTTCCTGCCCAAAAATAGCCCTGCTGTAAAGTAAGCTAGACTGCAAGATGGTGACTCATCCAAATTCACACACAGTGCGACCCGAAACAGAGTTACACCCTTCTGAACCCAACAGAAAGGGGTAACTATGTTTAGCATTGGATTGCCCATGATCTTCATTGCAGTGTGGGGACTGGAAGTGGAAGTCTGATCTCTCTGGTCCTAGCCTTATACTTTGACTGTGCAATACTGGCTCTCAGTGCTGGAAGAGCAAAATGGTTGACAAAACTACAAACAAATCTAAAAACAAAGCAGAATGGGGAATGTTCACTTGTCCCTAGCTGACTGTAGCGGTGATAAAGGGCTTCTGCTCTGTTTCATTTAATCAAACTTCATGGAACACGGGGCTGCCTTCCAAAACTGTCCAGAAACATCCGTTGCTTCAAAATGCAGCAGCCAAGCTTGATCAATTGAACTAAATTAATATAATTTCACGTATAATCGTGAATAGAAGTACCAAACACATCTTGACTGGAGTTTCGTTCAGCAACCAGCTTTACAAAATTCAAAATCTCACAGTGACAAGAGCATCTCAGATTCTGCTTTTTCTTCTGAGCCATTCATTATTTATTTACTTTTATTTATACCCTACCTTTCTTCCCAAAGGAGACTCAAAGGGGAGCCCATTTGGTGTAGCATCACACCATCCAATGGCACTCTGTCGATCCAACTGCAGCCCTTTCACTGTTATAGCCAGCTACAATAGCATATTATTAAGATGACTGGTGGTATCACTGGTAGCCTTCAGCACATGCTGAATACCACTTGTGCCTTTGATTATCTGCCATTCCTGCATTCTGATCCTCCAAACACCAAGGACCCTCTCACTGATCAGTCGATTGGGGAGTATAGTGGCAGATTTATGCTGACAGATGCCAGTAGGGACTCTTACCTCCAATCATCCTTGGAGAGGTTAGACAGAATGTTCATCTCTTCATCATCTTGCAAAAGGCGAAAAGCTGCACTCAGGTGATGATTTTCCAGCACAGACCGATCGTTATAAAGAATGGCTGAATCTGACCTATACAATGAAAGACTCCGTATCAATATACACAGATGCTGAGGTCCTCCCATCCCGCACCCCAGAAAGAGCTTTCCCATTAAAAATGGATCAGGAATCAGCTTGGCATTACAAATATTATAAAACATTTTCCCCAAGTGTCACGTTCTACCTGTTATGTTGTTATTCGTCCTGACCTGGATAGGCCAGGCTAGCCCAATCTTGTCAGATGTTGGAAGCTAACCAGGGTCGACCTTGGTTAGTATTTGGATGGGGGACCTCCAAAGACTACCAGGGTCATGACACAGGGACAGGCAATGGCAAACCACCTCAGTTAGTCTCTTGCCTTGAAAACCCTGCGGGGGCACCATAAACCAGCTGTGCCTAGATGGCTCTTTCCATCACCACCATGTTTTTATTCAGTATGTGTGTGTATGGGGGGTTGCTCTTCCCATTTGTTGTATTAGCTAGTCAGTTACTCCGTGGGGCACTTGGAGAAGATCGCGCAGGGAAGCCGGGCATGTCTGCCCGGCTCCTCCATGTCTTCCTTTCCCCCGGAGCCACTTCGCTCTTGTGGAGAGACTCAAGGAAGGGGGATTTAAATGTATGGCTTCCCTGCATGATCTGCAGCTGCAGGTCACTTGGAGAAGATCGTGCCGGGAAGCCAGGCATGTCTGCCCGGCTTCCCTTCCTGTCTCCAGCCAGCCCAGGCTGGCTGGAGACGGGAAGGGGAGCCGAGTAGACATGCCCTCCTTTCCCCCTGAGCCTCTCCGCTTTTGCAGAGAGACTTGGGGGGGATTTAAAGGCCTGGCTTCCCTGCGCGATTGTAATGTATCCATCCCAGACCACGTGCGTGGCCATTTCACCACGTGGTCATGCGAAGCGGCCGAGCTTCACTCTCAGTAACAATGGGACAAGCGGATCCTAGCCGGCACCTATCGGCAGGCTAGGCTCCCAGCCGAGAGCCTATGGAACTCTCGGCCACTGTAAATAGCCATCACTTGTGTGTGGGTGTGTTTTGGGTGCGGGGTTGTTGCACATATAAACCAGCCTGTGAGCTGGTTAGTTTGTCTTTTTCTGAGTTGAAATAAAGCATGAGAGCTGATATCACTAGTAAGTCTCAATACTTTCCACTGGCGACGAAGGTGGGATACTAACTCCCATGAACAACGACCCAGACGAAGTTTCGAGCACCACATCGAGCCCCAACGCCGAGACCAACGCAAGCCACTCCGCTTCGCACGCTGGTTCTCCAGTAGCCTCGCCCCAGGTGCTCCGGTGGTCTGTTTTCTTGGCAGGCTACTCTTATGTGCTTCTTCACTGGCCGGAGAAAGCGATGGGACACGCTGACGCTTTGAGCCGCCTTCCGCTGCCATCCACGGATCTGGACCTGGCTCCAGCTCACCAGGTCGCCTTGCTGGAGGCTCTTCCCGATCGGCCAGTGCACGTTCGTGAGGTGGCCCGCTGCACGGCCCGGGACCCAATCCTTTGCCACATCTTGGACTGGGTGAGAAGGGGGGGGCCTACGGCCTCAGTGGGGGCAGACTTCACAGAATTCGCTGAGCTGTCGTCCTCGCTGTTTAATGTGGGGTGGTCGGGTGGTGATTCCAACTCCGTTAAGGGAACGAGTCCTCACAGCGCTACACGACACACATCCGGGGGTAGTCCGGATGAAAGCCCTGGCCAGAAGTTATGTCTGGTGGCCAGGGCTGGACCAGGACATTGAGGACCGGGTGAAGCGCTGTCAGCCCTGCCAAGTATCCCAACCTGAGCCTCCCCGAGCTCCCACCAGGGCCTGGGAATCGTCACACAAGCCCTGGTCTCGTCTCCACCTGGACTTTGTAGGGTTATTCCAGGGTCAACTCTTTTTTATACTCGTGGATGCATACAGCAAATGGATTGAGGTCATCCCGGTGCCGTCCACGTCCTCACGAGCAGCTATCCGGGCCATGTGGCACATCTTCAGCGCCCAGGGGATTCTGGACACCCTGGTCACCGACAACGGGACGGCATTTGCCTCTAGCGAATTCCAGGACTTTACCCGCTATTATGGAATTCGCCACGTCAGGTCGGCCCCGTTCCACCCTGCGACCAACGGCCAAGCCGAGCACATGGTGCGCACGACTAAGGAGGCGCTCCGCCGCTTGGATAGTAAGGACTGGGACTACAAGCTGGCAGCTTTCCTCTTTGGCCAGAGAATGACGCCCCACACTGCGACGGGACGCAGCCCAGCGGAGCTCCTTTTGGGACGGCGCCTGACGACCCGGCTGGATTGCCTTCATCCCGATCGAGCACCGGAAGAGGAACCGGCCACGGAGTCACCTGAGGCGGCCAGAGGGTTTTTTCCTGAGGATCCGGTCTACGCCCGGAACTATGCGCAAGCCCCGCCATGGATTCCGGCCCAGGTGGTGAGAGTCTGGGGACCCAGGTCATACGAGGTCTCCAGCGAGGACGGACAGATACTTCACCACATCGATCAGCTGCAGCGGCAGGTACTGCCACACGACCCAGAGGACCCAGAAAACCCGGAAACTCCCACTCCACCTCAGCTACCGGACGACCAGGCCGAGCACAATGAAGTTCCCGTCGATGCTCCAACAGACAGCATGACCGGGCCCCGAGAAGTAGCGCTGCCAGCACCACAGCCGCCAACTCTGCCCATCTCCCAGCCGAGTGCTACGGTGTCATCTTCTGCACCGGTGCCAGCACCGCACCGCTCAACAAGGCCCCGTAAAGCACCCTCCTATTTGCAGGACTTCATGTGTGGGTGACTTTTGGAGCAAGGGGGGAGGGGTGTAATGTATCCATCTCAGACCACGTGCGTGGCCATTTCACCACGCGGTCATGCGAAGCGGCTGAGCTTCGCTCTCAGTAACAATGGAACAAGCGGATCCTAGCCGGCACCTATCGGCAGGCTAGGCTCCCGGCCACGGTAAATAGCCAATCACTTGTGTGTGGGTGTGTTTTTGGGTGCGGGGTTGTTGCACATATAAGCCAGCCTGCGAGCTGGTTAGTTTGTCTTGTTCTGAGCTGAAATAAAGAATGAGAGCTGAAATCACTAGTAAGTCCCAGTACTTGGAGAAGATCGCGCAGGGAAGCCAGGCATGTCTGCCTGGCTCCCCTTCCTGTCTCCAGCCAGCCCAGGCCAGCTGGAGACGGGAAGGGGAGACGGGAAGACATGACCTCCTTTTCCTGTGAGTCTCTCGGCTTTTGCGGAGAGACTGGGGGGGGGGGATTTAAATGTATGGCTTCCTGCCAAGGCAGGCGGGGGGGAAGCAAAGTGAGAGGGGGTTTAAAGTTTACACCCCTTCTCTCTAGAGTCGCGCAGCAATGGAAAGATCCTGCTGCTCCTGCGGTGCAACTCTTGGCAGGCCGGCTGGGGAAGGGAAGGGGAAGCTTTTGAAGATGCCTCCCCCCCCTTTTTGCTTCCCCTTCTGACACACTTCTGGTGATGTCAGGGGGGGTGGCATATGCTAATGATTATGCTAATAGCAGGTATGCTAATGAGCTCCTGCACCTCTTTTTCTCCGAAATGACCCCTGGGTCCCACACAATCAATTTTTTCATGCTTGGAAGTAACTGCGAACCCTATCCATAACAAAAGAGATCTGAAAGATTAAGCCTTCCCAAACTTGTGATCTGGGAACAGTCCAGTCTAAATGGGAAACTTCTCCTAAAAATGGATTTGTGTCCAAGAAGGCCAGAATGAGATGCTATGGCACACACACAGCTGCCACCAGAAACAACAGCTATATCTCTTGTTTCTCAATTCTACTCTGTAACTTCTAATAAGTTGTCCACGCCCTAACATCTTACTGTTCTGGGTTTCTCGATCATCTTCTGTCAATGGTAATGCTTGAGGAAAGACTGAAAATTAATGACAGGACAGGAGTAAGTTGGTGACACTGCATGTAGATTGTAATGTTCTACTCTACTCTAAAGTTCTACTCTAAGTATCTGAGGGGGGAGGTTTGTTAGTTTTTTAAGGACTAATTGAGATGCAATAGTTACCTTGAAAACTTTCTGAATTGGCAACACTACATACCATAGTTATCTGAAAGGAAGATGATGCTGGTAAAAGGTACACACGTGGTTTTCTATTACTGTATATAACTAAGTTGTACGCGAATTTATGACCGCCTTCTCTTTTTTCATGACAGCACATGTGGCTGGTAAATATGTTAATTCAATTGTTGGTTGCTAGAAACCAAAGTTCCCTAAATTCAAAGAAATTCACATATCAGAAATTACCAAAGTCAAATTTGAAATTAAAAAAAAAAAAGACTGCTCATTGGTTAAATATGAAAATTTGGGGCTATAGTAGAACTGCCAGTAGCAAGATCCCAGGCCTGTTTGGAAGGAGGACGTGCCTCCAGCATTTTCAAGTACACATTGATTTTTATTCATTCCACAGGTTCCCTTCTCCACCCCTTGTTGTTCCATGATTGACTGTTCTGAATGGTCTCACCGTGTCTGGATATGAAAGTTGTTGGTGGTTCCGGTGTGCTCATAGTCATGGATGGCGGCTGCAAAGATCATTGCAAAGATTTCCAGCTCAGTTAACCAGTGCTGAAAGAAAGAATGAAGAGCGGTCAGAGGACACGTCACTTTTGCAAACATTAGGAGGCGTTTTGCTGCGCAAGGAAAGCACTCAGCATAAGCAAAAATACATCACGCTGCACTGCCTTTTCACTCTAGACACCCACTATTCCAATTCAAGAAAAGATATATAGAACACGAGAAGCTGCCTTAGAGCATCAAGTCACTGGTCCAGTAAGCTCATTATGATCTGTTCTGGCAGCTGCCCTCCAAGGTCTCGGGTAGAAGCGTCTGCCAACCTCACCACCAGAGATCCGTTTAACTAGAGGTGCTGGAGAATGAATGTGAGATTTTCTGCATGCAAACACTATTCTGTATCTGGAGCAACGGCTCCCATAGTCAGAAGCAGAACTGACATATTCCTTTTCTGAAAGGCAACTGAGCTTAGAACAGGATAAAAGATTTAAAAAAGAAACATGTACGACAGATAATGAATGTTGATGGGCAGCAACAATAGCAAACAAATCATCGTGCAAAAATGGGGGGGGGGGGAGACCAACCATGAATTAGTATCTTTTGCAAGGAATTCATGGACGGGAAGATTTAATTATCCATCCAAGCCATTAGAATGAAAGTAAAGGATTCACTGTTTATACAGAGACAAAAGGGAACAACTAAGATGCATTTCCACACTGCAATGAAATGAATGTATCTCAAGACAACAGAGAGAAACGGAGCAAAGGGGGGGAAAGTTTAGCAATGCTAATTCCATGTCCCATTTTCCCCTATGATTGTTATCAATTTTGAATGGCATATAATGGAGACAATTTGCTTATTAAGCATAAAACCAGGCATGTCCCCACCCCCCAGTTTAGCCCAAAGACAAGTTGCACAGAGAAGCCCTGCACTTCTGCAATTAGGCAGCTTCATTGAAGAAACGCTCTAGTGCTTTAAACCTTGAGAATGCCATGGGTCTTTGTGCCAGCATGGCACACGGTTTAGTTAGACTGAAAAACTGGCTTTTGAATCCAAGGTACAGACCATGCTAACAACTGCTGTATTTCTACGTTTGAGCAGAATGTCTTCTAATAAGGCCCAAGTTATTTCTGTCGAAGTCTGCAGCCTTTTCAGTTACAACCTTCTGCTGCGGAACTCCCATTCACACCCAGCACCGGCACCCCAGTCTGACCTTAACATGAAAATGAAACAAAAAATTTCTTCTGTGATAAAAGGTTTTGTAGTAGAATCCTTCCCCGCAAATCCCTGCTAGGGTTTTGCTGCTCTGCTATATTGCATTATGCAAAAAATTCTACTCGATGCTGCCAATATCTTTTTAGGAGGGCTTTCAGGAAATTGCACAGCTTTCATTACGGTTTCTGAAGCTGAGGCCTGTAATTGGGCCTTTCATGGGCAACAGTGCCCTTAAGGTGGCCTACAGCTTTGGAGTTATTATATTAATAACGAAGGGGCTCATTTCTGCCAAATTGGAAAAAAAGACTAATTGACTTCATGTCCTAAGGTATTTTTGAACATGAGTCAAATTTCGCTGTTCTATTAACTAACAGCAAACTATATTTCACACAGCTGAAGTTACAGACACTGGAATACGCACTTCTCCACAACACTTTAAGTCTTTACAAGGAGGCTCACTTTTTACAACTAAAAAAGTATGGCGATTATGTACATGTTCTTTCCAAAAGGTCCAAACCAATAAAGTTCCCCCAAGGTCATGCAGGTTTTGCATTCAGCGTTTTTTGAACTGTCCGCAGATTGACAAGTTGGAAGGTTCTTTGGCCATTTGAATGGGGTTGTCAGGTAGGACCTGGCAATGTAATGACATCACTGGGGACTCCCCATGCACTTGGAGTAACATCAGTATGTCACCAAAGATGCTGGGGGGGGCTCTGGTGTTTGGGCAAAACTCTGTGGAGTCTGAGGAGAGAGACAAAAAGATCTGGATCTGCAAATGGAAATGCCTTCTGCCAATTGTCTAGTCACTTCCCAAATACTGCTGACAAGGCCAACAGTATTTTCTGAATTCAGGAGATCAAACCAGTCAAATTCTTAAAACAGACATGACCCTAATGCACAGTTTAAAGCAGAGGAGAGCAACTTGTGTCCCGATAAATTCCTTGAAAAGTTGCCTACTTTCTCACTCAGAGGTCGATTCGGGGGGGAATCGCGGGGGATCGCAGTTCCCCCGGGTGAGGTGCGGGGGGCGGGGCACACGACGAAGCCTTGCCCCCTGCTTCCGGCCGCCCCGCTTCCGGCCCTCATTCAGCCAGGAGGAGGTGGGAAAAGAGGGAGGGTGATTTGCTTCCTCCCCGCCTCTCCCCACCCCTGCCTGCCTGGGGCCAGGGAGGGCCTTCGCGGGGCGCTGGCCTTGCAGGTCCACCGCCGGGCCCCTCATGGTGCTCGGCAGTGGAGCTGCAAGGCCGGCGGCCGGGACCATTGGGGGCGGAGGCCCCTTCGCGGGGCTTCCTCGCCAGGGCTCGGATCGGGGCACCGGGGGCGGAGTGGGCACATGGCGAAGCCCCGCCCCCTTTTTCCAGCCTCATTCTGTTGCAGAAGGAGGAAGAAGCAGGAGGTTAAGTTGGCATCCTCTCCCTCTGCCTGGCCGAGGCCATTCCACGTGGCCTCCGCAAGGACTCCCAGCCCCATCCAGGAGCTTCCCTGAGGTAGCTGTGTTAGTCTGTTGCTGCAAAATAGTCCAAGACTTCAAATAGCACCTTTAAGACTAACCTTTAAGACTAAGACTGAGTGATGGGTGTGGCCTTATGACACACTTCCAGTGATGGCAGGGGGTGTGGCCTTATGACACACTTCTGGTGATGTCAGGGGATGTGGCATATGCTAATGAGTTATGCTAATGAGTTCCTCTAGCTCTTTTTCTATGAAACGACCCCTGTTCTCACTACAATGTAGAGAGCTGAGCATAACCCTTGCAGTCAGCTCTACCCACAGTGGCCCATATTCTTTTAGCTTCTGAAGAAAAGTGATTTATCTACTTACCGCTACACCCGTCTTAAAAAGGAGGTAATGAACAGTCTGTGTGACATCTGCTGCATGCATTAGGTTGTGATATGGATTTTTATGTTTGCTGTAGCCAACTTCCAGAGCTTCCACAAAAGAGACCAGAGCAGAAATTGGGATCTAAATATAAACAGAGGAGAGCAATATGGGCAAACAACAAATACGCCATTCTTAAACTTTCTGAGGTAAAACTAACAACACAAGTGAGTCCAACTCTGGGTTCCTCTCCATTTAAAAGAGGCACATTGGTAACCTCCTCATATACCGACATTCTTTCTGTTTGCTCACATAATCCTTAATACCCACAGGATTGGTATTAAACTCTGATGAAGGGAAATTTGACTCTTGGAAGCTTATACCGCCCCAAAATCTTGTTGGTCCCTAAGGTGCTGCTGGACTCAAATCTCTCTCTCTCTCTCTCTCTCTGGTTGTGTGTGTTACACCTAACATCTAAAATAGGTCACTATCAAGATTTATTAATTTAAAATATATATTCAGCCTTTCCTACTGTCAAATGGTGGCTAGAGGTCACTTAAAGCATAAATATACTAAAACATTATAAATAGAAAAAAGCCAAAAAGAAAATGCTGCCCATTTTGTTTCAGAGAAACAGTGGCTTCTTGGTAGGCTAAAGATCACATTAGGTAACACTGTCTTCTTCTTGTTGTCTTGGTAGGCTAAAGATCACATTAGGTAACACTGTCTTCTTCTTGTTGTCTTGGTAGGCTGAAGATCACATTAGGTAACATTGTCTTCTTCTTGTTGTCTTGGTAGGCTGAAGATCACATTAGGTAACACTGTCTTTTTGTTGTCTTGGTAGGCTGAAGATCACATTAGCTAACACTGTCTTCTTGTTGTCTTGGTAGGCTGAAGATCACATTAGGTAACACTGTCTTCTTCTTGTTGTCTTGGTAGGCTGAAGATCACATTAGATAACACTGTCTTCTTCTTGTTGTTTTTCTGTCAAGTCAGAGCTGACTTATGGCGACTCCTTGGGGTTTTCAAGGCAAGAGACATCCAGAGGTACTTTGCCATTACCTGCCTACATGTTACAACCCTGGTATTCCTCAGTAGTCTCCCATCCAAATACTAACCAGGGCCAACCCTGCTTAGCTTCTGAGATCTGACAAGATCAGGCTAGTCTGGGCTATCCAGGTCAGAGTGACACTGTCTACCTAAGTCTTAGTCCTGCTTATCACAGCAACTAGAACATTCTAATTAAATCAGGGGACAAAAGGGTTACAGTCCGTTTGCCCATACATTAGGGCAGTTAATAATGTGAACATAACTGACACACATGTTTAGTGATTCCCCCCCCCCCTTTTTGTAAACAACAAGACAGGAGAGAAGGACGGAACCAGTGGGATTACTGACCTTGAAACGGCTGATCAAATCATAGCGTGTGAGCAATTCATAGAAAATGAATTTCAGTGCATGATCCCCACTAGCATCATTCAGTGCAAATACATCAAAAGACCACTTGTCTACATTCTGTAAGCAAAGAGGAAAGGAAGCATTAGTCTATATTTTTTCTATTGTTGCTATAAATAAAAAGCAATTGGTCAGAAGTGAAGTTCTGTTAACTTCTGAATAATTCAATATAACATGATTCAATATAACATATGCCATTTGATCCTATTTTGCATTTTAGAAAATCAGCAGTTTTAACCAGCAAAGAACACTCAACTAGTTCTTTTCTGAACATTTGTCATCCATTGCAATAACGACAAACAGTTGATCTTTTAAAAAATGCAGAATCCTATCGGGAATGAGGAGAAAAGAGCAGATAGAGATCTACTGTATTGACAATTTGACAACATTTGCTACTTGGAAACAGCTGCATTTTTTTCCTTTCTCTTCCATTTCAAGAAATGTTAATTAGGTATAGGATAGAGCACGCTGGTGGTTTGAATACTGTCATTACCAGGGGTCATTTGGGGGGGGACGTGGGGGGACGCCATCCCCCCGGGTGAGGTGTGGGAGGGCGGGGCCTGGAGCTCCCTGCTGGTGCCCGCTGGAGGTCGCAGCCAGCTGTGGGGAAGACACACTTCCGGTGATGTCAGGGGGTGTGGCATATGCTAATGAGTTATGCTAATGAGTCCCCCTAGCTCTTTTTCTACGAAATGACCCCTGGTCATTACTGTATATTGCATCTCTTGTAAAATCCCTGTACTATTTCTCATGGAAACAGACTTGTTCATAAGATCTTCTGTATGTTAAAACTACTTCAGTGCTAGAACAAAGACTTATCAATTAACATGACTAGCAGACATGAGCTTAAATCCATACATGTGTGTATAAAGTGCCATCAAGTTACAGCCAACTTATGGTGGCCCCATAGGGACTCAAGGCAAGTGAGAAGCAGAGGTGCTTTGCAATTGCCTTCCTCCGCAAAGACTTTCTTGGTGGTCTCCTATCCAAGCAACAACCCTCCTTAGCTTCCGAGATCCAACAAGACCGGGCTATACTATACCATTCCACATCCCATTTCATACACATGCATACCTAATTTTTGTAGTCCCCCCCCCCAAATTCAAACAAAAACCAACAGTAAAAGTCAGCTTCTAGATACTAGAGCAGCCTGAATAGTCCAGCTTAGCCTGAATTAATCAAAGCCTGAGAAGCAAGTAAGGTTGGCCACTGTCAGTACCTGAATGGGATACCACCAAGGAAGACAAGGGTTGCTACGCAAAGGGAAGCAATGGCAAACCACTTGTGCTCATCTCTTGCCTGAAATGACCCATGGATGGGGTCACCATGAGTTGGTTGCAACTTGGTGGCACATCTTCTTCTTCTAGACGCTAAACAACTCTAAGAACTTAACTGAAACAAGTTACTCTCACGAGGCCCAAAAGCAGGATGAACAAGGAGAAGGTCTTCTTCCATTGTCACCAAGCAATAGGTATCAGAAGCACATTGCCTCTCATGCCGATTTGTAAGGTGGAGCTCTGTGTAGCAGGTACCACCATATGATGACTTGTTTGTGTGTAAGTGGTAATCACACAGCATAGAATGAACAATTTTCTCCACTTTCCCACAATTATTTTCAGAAGCAAAGATTTGCAGTGACACAGCAAAAACTTGTTTGGTCTGCATAAAGGACAAGTATCTCATCAGAAAGTGGCGACAGTATTATTAGCTGCTTTGAACCAAAACATAAACATGGCTTCTCGGCCTTTAGGCTAAGATCAAGTATGTGTAAAAGTGGGATAAATTTTTTTAAAGAAATAAACCACGTTACAAGGCATCTGTAACATGTAAATCAGCTCAGACATTGGGGGTTGGAAGGGCTCTTTCAGCACACTTTCCTTTTTAGAAAACCTTTGCTATGATAGTGTGAGACAATCACCTCGATATATCTAATGCCAGGCAACTCTATATAAACTTTGTCATGAAACTGACAAAGTAGATTTTGCAGCACAAAAACACATTTGTAAGCCTTCAAACATGTCACAAGACTCTTCTGTTATTTTGGTTGCAGGAGATTACCCTGCTACCCCCCCCTGAAATTTGCACACAAACGGCGCACCAAGTGGTGGCAGTTGCCAAAATGAGCAATTAACTCAGTTTAATTTTTTAAAAATCACAAGTTCAGTCCCCTTTGGTATTCTGTCATCAACTGTAAAATATTAATTATATTAAGTAGCAATTCGTTACATTATTATATGTTTATCTAACTATGATAATGCCAAAAGAACGAAGTTGGAGTCCAGGGGCACCTTTAAGACCAACAAAGCTTTATTCAAGGTATAAGCTTTTGTGTGCAAGCACACTTCTTCAGATACACATGAAAGCTTATACCTCAAATAAAACTTTGTTGGTTATAAAGGTGCATCTGGACTCAAACTTTGTTCTGCTGCTTCAGACCAGTTCTGCTACCCACCTGAATCTATGATAATACCAAGTGATTTTTGTACGTGAATTTTTTGTTACAATTTTTCATCAACGAAAATTCAAGTGAACTAACGTAATAAATGGTACGGTGGCAAGAAAAAGAGACACTCGATCGTGCTGCAAATCAGACTGACAGGGCAATTTTGGTTAACAGCATTCATGCATTATACATTTGATTATAATAGAAATATCCTAAGTGCAATTTGGCTGTAATTTTTGCAGATGAGTTTTCAGACGATGCAAAACTCCATTAAGCAGCCAGAAAAACATCACAAAAGAAAGAACACACACCAACATTGTATCTATTGCCTGATGTGAAAATAACCTTCAGAAAACAGGAGCAGATTTCTCTCAATGCGCTCTGAAATTTCATTTGGTTGTTTTTACTAAATAACTCGGTACTCTCCAACAAGGGTGAAACATGACATAAACTGCATCATTCTGTGATTACAGCATTGGCTTCTCTTTGATGCCAGTACTAGGAAGCAGGACACCCCAACAAGTAAAATGATGAGTTAGAACTCCACCATGTATGCCGAAATAGTTGCACACCAAGCTTATCACTAGATTGCAGCCTCCTGAGCCCAGTCATTCCAGTGCCTGCAATTCAGTAGGTCTTTACCAAATAAATAGTCCTTGATGTATGTACTGTATCACATTTTGCAGAGCTAAGCACTGTGGCTGGACAAGATCCATCTATTTCCTCTGGCTGCCAGAAATTCAATATAATTAATAAATGGAGTACTCCTCAGTATATTTACTCCAGGAGGATTCTCTTGAACGTAAGAGCAAAGTAGCTGTCCCAAGCATAAGGAATCTATTTGAGGTCTTAGTAGGCAGGGAACAGCCCAGCTTTCTTCTTTTCTACTCAAGTTTTGTTCAGATGGATAATTGCAGAACAAACAAAACAATTTCTCTCTAGGCCATGTTTGGCATTTTACTGGCTTGAACTCATCGAATCATTCTGAAAGTCATCAGGCAAGCCTTATGAAGGAGGGCAGTCCAAAGACATGGAGCCACCACTTTAAGAAGCCATCTCTCTGGTTCCCACCCACAGCACCTTTGCAAGTGGGGGCACGGAGAGCAGGGCTTGTAAGGAGGATCTTAGCTCGTGGGCTGTATAGTACTACTTTGGATTTCAAGTGGGAACCATGGCAGAGAATCATTTGAGGGAGGTGCATTCATTTATGTGAACCCTCACCTGAAGGCTGGAGTGGTACAGCTCTAGAGAATGTTTTGCCAAATGTGATCTGCTCCATGCACTTCAATGCACTGTGGTCACAACACTAACAAGCCCCAAAGATGTTTTTTTTTCATATAGACTATTGTCTCTGTTTCCTTCCAGGCAAGTTCCAGTAGAACCTCTTCAAAAGTTCTCTGTGCCAACTTTCCACAAACATATTTATCTACAGCAAAGCTGCTTTTCCTTAACAATGTGATAAAGAACTGAGGCTTCAGATTGGAAGGTTTTCCCCACACACCCTCGTCCAGCCTCTTTTGCGGATCAGTTCCAAAATTCCCCAAGGCATTTTAATTGGGAACAAATGATGATTGAGGAAAAGTAAAAGCAGTTCCGCAAATGCCATTTGTAAACTTTAGGATCTACTTAGTCTAATCGAATGGGAATGCTAGGCAGTCAACACCAGAGCTTAACTGATGCCGCGAGCACCACCACCACCACCAAAAACCCTCATGAGGTGCAGCTGTCAGAAATTCCAGGAACCTCGGGGATCTGAGGCTGGTGTCTCCTCTAGTGATCTACCATGGAGTGTGTACACTCCAGAGCCTCTGTAGATAAAGAAGGGGCATGCGGGATCAGCTCTTTTGTCTGGCAAAGAGCATCAAACTTCAAATATGTTTCAATGGAGCATGAAAATACCTGGATGTTGTTCAGTCCTTCACTTTCCACTACCTGTTGCCCTGCTATTGAATCCTGTTATCCTATTGACTTTATTTAAACTATAAGAAATGGCTAAAGCTTCTTAGGTTACTACTGAATAATTTTTACCATGTGTAAAGGCGTTTTCTTTCCCTATTCACTGATTAATGCAGGTAAGTTCAGACCCGGTTCCAGGTGCTGAGGGGGAGGGAGTGCTCAGACCTTCCTCCTCTGCCGCCGCCCCCCCTTGCGCCATCCTTCTTGCTCACCCCGCTCCATATCCCTTAGGGATGCCAGCCTCCAGGTGGGGCCTGGGGTCCTCCCGGAATTGCAGCTCATCTCCAGACTACAGAGATCAGTTCCCTTGGAGAAAGACAGATGCTTTGAAGGGTAGGCTCTATGCCACTGTCCCCCACTGAGGTCCCTGTCCTCCCCAGGCTCCACCCCAAATCTCCAAAAGTTTCCCAACCTGGAGCTGGCAATCCTACCCTAATCTCCTTGCCCACCCATGCATCCTCCCTCCCCCGCTCACTTGCTTGAAAGCCCTCCTACTGCCTACACTCCAGGTTTACACTGTACCTTTCCCCGATGCGGCTGGGCATCGCATGCGGCTGGGAGCACCACAAACAAACACCGCTCACACACCCTTCCCCTGGTGGAGCTTGGCAGCTCATTCATCTGGGAGTGCAGGCAGCGGGAAGGTCCATGAGTGGGTGGAGGAAGGGCTCATCAGTGGGTGGAGTGAGCTGCAGGCAGGGGGTAGCAGCAGCCGGAGAATCGCAGAGCCCCAGAAGCTGCCCCACTTTGGGGTATACTGACGCCAGCCCTGTGTGAGTCCAATTAAACTTGAGGAAAAAAACAAAAGGCGGTGCTCATAGATCCCTGCAGAAGACTGCAATGCCCTTTCAGAACTTAGTAGGAGAGACCAATCGATCAGTGTTACCTTTAGCACCCCAATCACTGCTGGTGGGTAGCTAAGTCCAACCATATTGGATGTTCGCCTGTACATCCTGTCAAGATAAAATAAATTAATGAGCCTTATGACATGTCATTTGTACATTTGAGGAGGATTCTGCAGAGACATCCTGCCAATCGTCACAGGATTCCTTTATTATCTCTGCACAGCAGGATCCCACTATGCACTTGTTCTTGCTGGGAAATCATAGTAGTAGCTGCTCATGTTTTCCATACACTGGATACTGTGCATTCAAAGCAAACTGTTGCCCCTGTGGAATCACCCCTCAATCACTAACTCGTGGTGCTAAAGATTAGGAGTGTTTGTTTATGACACATAAGTAGTTACCTTAAGCATTCAGCATAAAGCATAGGGTGGGGAGGGGAATGTCTAAAAACCATAATCCAGGGCTATTTTTGGGCAGGAACGCACAGGAACGGAGTTCCGGCTGGCTCCCAAGTTGGCCACACCCAGCAGGAACTCATTAGCATAATAGGCCACACCCAACAGCAGAAAGTCATTAGGATTGGCTACATTAGAGGTGTGTGGCCTAACATGCAAAGAAGTTCCTGCTACAAAAAAAGCTCTGGGTTTTGACAATAAACAAGGTAAACAGAATAAGAAGCAAAAGGTTGGTGTGGCTGGATGAGCACACTTCTGGTAACCTGTGGGTGTGGCCTAATATGCTAATGAGTGGTGCTGTCAGGGGTGTGGCCCAATATGCTAATGAGTTTCTGCTATTGGGTGTGGCCTATTATGCTGATGAGTTCCTGCTGGGCTTTTTCTACAAAAAAAGCCCTGCCATAATCTAAACATGCAAAAGCTTTATTTTTTATATATACAAAAGTACAGCGTTCCGTGCGCCTTGGCATCTAGTCATGCTGGCTACATGACCACGGAAATGTCTTTGGACAGCGCTGGCTCTTCGGCTTGGAAATGGAGATGAGCACCGCAACCCTAGAGTCGGATTCGACTGGCTTTCGAACAAGGGAAACCTTTACCTTTACAGAAATTAAAAGTACAGTATCACCCTAGGGATTTTGTACTCAAAAAGACTCTCAAGACTCCTCAAGTCAACACATCCTCATAAGGCTCAATGTCTTGTGAAGTTCCAGAAAATGGTACATATTGATTGCAACTTCTTATTTCAGGAGCAGGGACTTTAAGGTCTATGGAGATGTGCTGTCTTGAAAAGACTGCTGGGTATCTCTATATGGCAGTCCAAGGATTCTACTGTGCTTTACTGTATGTTTTGGCATGTATACTTGATAAAACTAAAATTATTTTGCACATAATGAGATGGTATGTGAGCAATTTCCCCCCTCAATGTTGACCACCTAATGTCCTAACCTTATCAATATGTGATTACAGAGATGTCTCTATTATTTTTATAGTACATAGGGCACTTCAGCATTGGACTACTGTTTCTTTTTAGTTTATTGCAGGTATATTTATTAATACATTTATTTATTTTACAGCAAATATCTACCCACCTGGACTAAAAACACAAAGAGTGAAGAGCCAATATTAATGAAGAGCACAGTTTCTCTGTCCACCCTGTGACTTAGTTATAAACCAAAAACACCCCCGAACAAATCAAATACGAGACTGGGATTGAATTTTACTAATAGCTTCCCCTATATACTTTGATGTTGTGGGTCATCATCATATTCATTCATAGGTTTCCATTCTTGGTTTAGCGTTTTTTGTGTTTTGTTTTTTTTTAATGTCAAGTACTCCTCAATCAACACGAACACCATCTATGTTGCTTGACTACCCTTTGGTGCAGAGCAGTTAAATCCCCCATTACCTCTCCACAAATATCCCAGCTTGAACTGCATGGACAATGCTTCGGAACCTTGGCTTCTCCTCAGTCCTTCTCAGCATCATCCCCATCTGCCGTGTGAAGGTGGAAGCCAGCCAGTCCCGTACCTCAGAGGGCACAGAATCTGACTGGATATCACTGAGCTCATCTTCGGTATCCAACAGACGCCTGTAGGAGGATTCAGGGAGAAACAGTAAATAAAGGTTTCCTAAGAGACGGCATTTCTTCTGCAACATTGTTTACAACTGTCACACATGCAAAAACACTACTTAAATCTGTCGGTTGGTTTTTATTTTATTTTTGTAAATTTAATGAAACACACTGTGGACATGCAGTTATTTCATTGGACGACAGCAGGATCAACAGATTGCAAAGCAGCTCACTTGTTGAGAGCCAGAACACTGAAAGAGCAGAACAGTACCTTTCCAGATATTATTCGTTATTAAGTTTGCAATGCACCAAGTTTGCAATGCACCCCTACTTTGTTGGCATGCTTTCTAAATGCAATGGGACAATTACAGGATTCTGTAAGTGATAATTTCCAAGGCACTATTTTTTTGTTCTCACAGTTAAGTCCCATCGCACAGGCTCAGGGGATGGGGGCACATTCATTACCTGTCAAACATATTCCCACAAAGCATTAAATTCAAACCAGATACAAACGTTGGCACCAAATCAACACTGAACAAGGGACTAGTTGGTAGTCCCCATAAGCCAGGACAGTTCCCCTCCCCCAATAACTGTTTTACAAGTAGGGTTGCCAAATGGGCCCGGGGGGCGGGGAATCCCCCGCTTCGGAGGCCCAATTTCCGCCACGGCGGAATTGGGCCCCGGGGGGAACCCCGTCCCCGAAGCTGCGTCACCAGAGGTGACGCAGCCACATTGCTGACATTGGGGGCGTGGCTGAGCTCGTCGGGGGGAGGAACCATATGGTTTCCCCCCGACGAGCTCGGCCACGCCCCCAACGTCAGCAACGTCGTACGTCACTTCCAGTGACGTGCTGCCGGCGCGCGCACGTGCGCATCCGTGAAGAGCTCCCGGACGCCGGCAAGGCTCCCCCGCTCCGAGGGGTGAGTCGAGTTGGCAACCCTATTTACGAGGTTTGTACAAGAAGCAAAAAAGCTTCCCAAATTAAGGCAAAACTCACCTGGTTTCATCAATGTACACAGATTCAAGTACGGTAGCTGCATATTCCAAGTTCTTTTTCAAGTCAACGACAGAAGCCTCTCCTCTCTCTAGCTGCTTGACCAATGATCGCAACCTAAGAGAAAAGAATTTGATGAGCACAAATCCACCAATGGGACCACAAATGAATCCAATTACTGTCACTCATAAGATCCCTAACTTATAACTGTGTTAAGGAAACTATAAGTATGTGATGTGCATTGTGGCCACAATCCATTAATGATGAAATCTTGAGAACGACATATGTACACATTGTACAAACTACAATCCACCACCTGACACAAGCCTGATTTCTTGGCAGAGGACTGTCTTTCATAAAAGCATTTTCCATCTTTCAAGATGGCCTAATTATGTGATCACCTACAATGTTCAGTCATTGAGAGTATTTCATGGCCTATGAAGATGTCAAAACGAGAAGGGAAGGAAAAGCAATTTGAAGCTCACAGTCAGAATTACTCCATATAATAACAACACATTCATTTAGCAGCACTGAGTTTACTATCTGGCCTGAGGAAGGAGCAGTAGTACGAGTCACCATCATTGCTTGGTGAATGACAGTACAACACTAAGCAGAGTTACACCCTTCTCAGTCCATTGATGCCTCTGTGAAACTCTATGTAGGACTGCGCTGTGAATCTCCAGATTTGACTTAGATGGTCAGTTCGGATATATCTTCCAGCTCCTCCACACCATTGTTTGGGGAACTGGGAACGCACTGCAAGCGCAAGGGTTTCCTCTTCCCTTCTTTTCCATTGTCTTGGCAAACCACAGTTTGCTGTTTCATCCAAATCAGATTAATCTATGATTATTGCCAATCATATCTTACCTGCAAACGGAAAATTATGATCAAATTGTATTTTCCAGTTCTGATTTGCAGGGAAACCATAGTTTGCTAAGGAAGAGAAAGTGAAGGGGAGCTACAGGAGAAAGGGGAAGAGGAACTATATGAACATGAGATTCAAGCACAGAAAAGTAAAAGTAGTTTTGCCTGTAAGTGTGAACCATGTCACAGTCCAAGCAATTCTTTTCCCAGAACTCTTTCTGTTGCTGTAGACAACCCCCCAAATTTCAGTAGGAGTTTTGGGAAGAGCAGTAGCATTTGAAAGAGGCACCTCAGTGCCATTCATTTGTAGGCACTCCTATTTTCCCTTAACGATGAGTAAATATTACATATATAACATGGAAGTACTGATACAACAGAAATCAATACCTTTATATTTCATGTTTTTTTAATTTGACTAGTTAGACACTAGAAATATTTATCTGGACAGCTCATCAACATTTCCCTCCAATTATGCTCAGAAGTCAAATCAGTTTGTATGACTAATCCTGCTGTAATCGTTTTTTAAATTCAGTAGCAGTATGAAAATGTTCCAGTTTAAAAGTTATTCTGGTGCCTTACTGTCTGGTTTTAGTTTCTTGGGCAACCTACAGAGCAGCAAGGGGAGCAAATGATTCAGCAAGGTGACAAAGCTGTCATCAAAATGAGAGTCTACAAATGTTCCCACTGAACAGTATACCCCCAAATGGAATTCTAGTGTACAGGGTTTCCATTTTCCACCCAATATTGAACTGTCTGAGTGGCATTGGGAAGGCACAGGTTCTGACTGTGTGATTGATTTTAACTGGAGTGCCCTCGCTAAGTTGTGCTTGTACCTGCTGGCAAGCAGGCAGAGCCACAGAGTCTGAAGGTGAGGAAAGAAGCCCAAGCTTGTCCCCCTCCTTCCTACATTAGGCAATCCCTTCGGGGACAACAGAGGGAAACACTTCGCTTGTACTAGCTAGTAGTAGGAGTGTGGAGAGAGATAGAGGCATAGGCCCAGGCTCCCTCCATCAACAATTTATCTGCTTTGCAGATTAGGGGCTAACGTTTCAAGCTTCCCCTCAACAGTAAACACACAAACACACGCCAGACCAGGGGAGATGAGAGACCAGTGCTGAGGAACAATTTGATCACCTCTCTACGGGAAAGAGAAATTCTGACTCAATATCTGAGACCTCTCACTGACATCATTATTTGTGCCCTTTCCCTGATACAAATCCACCCCCCTCCCCAGCTGCTGGTCCATCTGGCAAGGGGAAGTCAGGTTGTCTCTCCCATTCACATATAAAGAAAATGAGAGGTGGGCTCTATTTTTAAATGAATCCAGAGTGCACGGGTATGGGGAGCTAATCTAAAACCCTTCTCAACTTTACTCCAGTGCACCATAAAATTTTCTGATTAAATTTTCTCTGTACATCTCTAAAAACCATCACATTTCATGTTTGTTGGGCTGAATTCAACATCCATATACAAGATGGGACCATTGAATAGCTATAACATTACAGCACTAGCATCCATCATGCCAGATTAGATACAATACACAGTGCATCAATCACTGAGAGAAAACAGAGAGGTTTCGAAACAGAACATTGTGTTTCTCATGCACACAAAAAATGATGTTGTCTTTGTCTCACCATTTGTTACCTATAAATGCCGCTATGATTTATCTTGTAGCAGCACTGGTGGCAGCCAAACGCCTTCATCGAAAGCCAGTCCGTTGCCATCGTCCCTTTAATGTGATAAATGCCTTCAAAGCATGAGTGCAACAGTTCTGAATAAATTATAAACCTTTGCGACAGCAGATTTCTCCAATGCCTGGAAGCTGGTCTGCATTTCAGCTAGGTTGGGTGGTGAGCAAATGGCAACGAGTGGTCTATACACAAGCAAAAACCCAAGTAGAAGAACATGGGAACACATGGGAATGTGTGAGTCTGTGTTATACCAAATCAGGTCATTGGTCTGGTCCATCAAGGTCACTATTATCTACTCAGACCGGCAGCAACTCTCTGGGATCTTAGACAGACGTTTTTCATATCACCTGTTACATGATCCCAGAGAGTCACTGCCAGTCTGAGTAGATCTCTGGTGGTGGCTGGGAATTCCATTAACTACTTCATGGGTCATGGCTGGGTTTAATTCACATGCCATTACAGGTGCCAAAGTATGTACAATGGACAGCATTGGTTGTAAAGATTGCTCAGCAACAGTAATATTTGTATGATTGCTTAGGATGCAAATAGATCGTTCTTCAGTTTGGAGAGATAGTGGTCAATTGACTTGCCTGGGGCCAGCCAATCAGCAGATGGCCAGAACTGTATTGGATAATGTTTGCTTTTATCTATATGCAGGTAGTTTTGAAAGAACAGGCAGGAGCTTTAATTCAATGGTTTTTAAGGTCCTCACAGTGTTTTCAGATCTCAGTTCAGGCTCCCTAATCCTCTTTCCTTTCCTGTTTTCTATCTTGGTTCCTGTAAGGTCCAGGAGGAAGAAGTCTGGCTTGAAAAGCTAATGGGCAACCCGTCTGCATAATTTGGCTCTGCTCAGTTCCAGCCCTTGTTCTATGCTGTGTGGCTTGCACTTTATCCTGTGTTTATGCTCATGATTCAGTGCTAACTGGCTTTTTGGCTTTCTGATAGAGTTTTAGTTTTCCAGACTTAATCAGAGCTTTACTGCCAGGTCCCAAGTGCCAACTTGAGCAAACTGCTGAGTACTTCTACTTTGTTCCCTGCATATTCTAAAACTCACAAAAGTTGCATTTAAAATAAACAGTATATCCATATGTGCAGAAAAGGCAAATTTCAAACAGCAATATTTTTTAATTCAATGAAAATATTCTGATTTGTACATTTAGAAACAGCAACTCTGATTTCTTCCCAGTTAAGACTTAAGTGATATTGATGAAGATCAACCTGAACCTACAAAAATGCCTCATACTAAGACAGACCTCAGGGGTCGTTTCGTAGAAAAAGAGCTAGGAAAACTCATTAGCATAACTCATTAGCATATGCCACACCCCCTGACATCACTGGAAGTGTGTCATAAGGCCACACACCCCGCCCCCAACGGTCCTGGCCGCTGCTGCCGGCCTTGCAGTTCCACTGCCGAGCCCCATGAGGGGCCCGGCGGTGGACCTGCAAGGCCGGCGGGAGTGCAAGGAAGCCCCGCGAAGGCCCTCCCTGGCCCCAGGCAGGCAGGGGTGGGGAGAGGCAGGGAGGAAGCAACTTCCCCCCCCCCCTTCTCCTGCCTTCTCCTGGCTGAATGAGGGCCGGAAGCGGGGTGGCGGGAAGCAGGGGGCGGGGCTTTGTCATATGCCCCGCCCCCATACCTCACCCGGGGGAACTGCGATCCCCCCCAAAATGACCTCTGCCAATAGTCCCTCTAACCCACTTTTGTTTACTCATAACGGTAGGAGCTCTTACAGGTCCTCCAAACCACCCTTTTAACTGGAGGTGCAAAGGATTGTATGTCGGACCTTTAGCAGATAAGTAGTTCTCTTCTACTGAGATATGCCCCATCACCAGTACATGAACACATGAAGCTGCCTTCTACTGAATCAGACCCTTGGTCCCTCAAAGTCAGTATTATCGACCCAGACTGGCAGTGGCTCTCCAGGGTCTCAGGCTGAGGTCCTTCACATCATCTACTGCCTGGTCCTTTTAACTGGAGATGCTGGGGATTAAACCTGGGACTTTCTGCATGCCGAGCAGAGGCTCTGCTTCTGAGCCATGGCCCTTCCCCAAAAACCATGAAAAGTCCTTTCAGGCCTGTTTTTGCACTGCAAACTGCTTCTGAAGTGAAGTTGTGTTTCCAAAGCAGTCTTGAGATACAGCTTGAGGATACGTTGTTCAAAGAAAAATCTCTCTGGCCTGTTCTAAGGAGCACTTCAACTGTGGCTGCTTACTGCAGGGTTGCTTGTACACGTGATCAGGTATCTAATTCTGAAGTCATCTTATACTGAACCAGAACATCGGTCCATCAGTAGCATATACACTGACTGTGGTTCACCTGGGACTCAGGCAGAGAAAGGTATTTCCCAATACCTGTTGAGAGTCTTTTAACTGGAGATGCCAGTGATTTCACCAAGGACCTTTTGCATGCAAAGCACATTCTCTGTCACTGAGCTATCACTCCCATCCCAAATATCTAAAGGTAAAGCTTTCCCAACCACCCCAGCAGAGACTGTGCAAGATTTGAACCAGCCACTTGCAGATGCAGAAGATGGAAGGACAGCAAGCTACAAGATGAAGTAAGCT